TTTCTCTCTCACACACACACACACACACACACACACACACACACACACACACACACACACACGGGAGGTTTAGCTCTTCCTTGCCAGATATGCACTGGAATAGGGTGGAGGGTGACCTAAAACACCTTTCTCCAGTTGGTGCTTCAGTAAATCTCAATTTCTCCTCCTCTTTTCATTCTCTTATCTGCATTTCAAGAGGACCCTGTTGAGAAAAATAGTCTAGTATGAATATTGATCTTTTAGGTCATCATCATGAATTGGAAGCCCTAGAAGTAATTCTTGAGGATGCTTTTTCAACTAGGATTTTGCTTTGCATCAGTTATCTCTTCCAGGCGACTAATTGAGGAACATTTTACATGTAGTTCCTGATTAGGACTGCCATACACTCTGTCTTTGTCCCCACCCACAGCTATTGCTGCCACCATTGTGGAAGTTAGAATTTTACGGGTTTGGAAATAAAAGATGAAGAAAGTACAGCAAGCCCTTGAATACAGTTGTTGCAGTCTGAGTTGTTTCATTATAACTCAGATGAGTTGCCATAGGAACTTAACTCTTGTTTATATCAGTTAGTCTGGGGTAAAACTGGTTTCATTATACATCATTTGCAGAACCAGAACCAATCAGTGACATTAAGTGAGGACTTACTATAATGAAAAACAATAACATCTTAGGGATATGACCACTCAGTCTTGGAGTTCATCTATTTTGGTTATATATTTGGATTAACTATTTTCTAAAAGCAGCAAATAATTTTTTGAGGCTTAAAGAGCTATTCAGTCATACATTAGTGGGGATTAGTGCAACTAATGTTGAAATGACATTTATTGAGCACTTTTTCTGTGTTTATTGCTAGATTCTTTCATCTTTTTAAAAAGTTTGCTATTTAATTATCCCAATAGCTTATATTCATTAAGCAAATTTATTTAGTGTCTACTACTTATGATGCATTGGGCTAGGCTTTAAAAATACAATGGTAAGCAAAACAGGCAGAATCCTGGCCTTACGGAGATTTCGGTTTAATGGTAGAGACAAATGTTAATTCAATAATTAGACTATTATGTAATACAAATTTTATAAGCACTGAAGAAAAAATACCGGGAGCCAAGAACTGTAGCAGGGGGACTTGAATAAGAATGAAGGTTCAGGGAGAGGAGGAATGCTTGAGATGAAACCATTTCTAACAAGAGTAACAGGAGCTAAGTAGGTAGAAGAGTTTGTCCGGGAACAGTGGGCATTATGGCCCTGATGTGGGAAGGAGCATGGCACTGTTGAGGATCTACATGAAAATCCTGCCTGGAGGTGAGAGGGAGAAGAAACTGGGACCAGACCGTGATGGAGGGCCTTATAGACCAGGAGTTTGGATTTTATTCTAGATGCGCGGGGGACATTTAATAGATTTATGCAGGTGAGTGACAGTGATCAGATTTACATTTTGGAAGAGTGCTCTGGTTGTACTGTGGTACAGACCATTGTAGCTACCCACTAAGAAATGATGGTAGTGGAGGTGGGAGAAGTGGGAGGTTTGAGGTCTGTGCTGAAGTAGAATTAACAGAGCTTGAGGGTGAGGGAAGAGTCAAGAATCATCCCCAGGTGTGTGGCTTATGTAACTGGGTAGGGCTTACGCTGTTTTCCGAGAGGAGTGCTGGGGGGAAGTCAGGGTTTGGGGAGGAGGGGAGGGAGCAAGGTTTTGGACATCTTGAATTTGAGGTATTTTTTACAATACATATTTTTATTGATTTCAGAGAGGGAGAGAGAGAGATAGCGACATCAATGATGAGAGTCATTGATTGGCTGCCTCCTGCACACCCCATGCTGGGGATGGAGCTGGAAACCTGGGCTTGTGCCCTGACCAGAATCGAACCTCAATCTCCTGGATCATAGGTCAACGCTCAACTGCTGAGCCACGCCTGCCAGGCTTGAGGTATTTTTTAATATCTAAGTAGTAATATTGAGTAAGCAGTTGGACAGCAGGATCTGGAACTTAATTATTTGTATTAGACATAAATTTAAGAAACATGGGTATGTAGATGGTAATCAAGGAAATAGATGTGGATAAGATTGCCTAGGAAAAATGTATACAGTGAGAAGAGAAGTGGGTTTAGATCTTAACCTTAATAAACTCATAACATTTAAAAGATACTGTAGTTGAGGAGGAGGCGAGTGAAAACTAGTGACCAGTGAGGTAAGAATAAAACTGGAAACTGCCAAGGAAGAGAGAGTTCCAACAATGAGGAGGTGTCAACATTTTCAAATATTGCTCAGAGTTAAAATGAGAATAGAGAAAACAAATGCCCATTGGAAAGCTTTTGGTATACTCTGTAAAAGCCATTTCACTGAAATTATACAAATGAAAATTAGGTTGATTTGGCTTTAGTGAATAGCTAGAGAAATGAAATGAGGTCTTTTCTCCCCTCTCTCCTTTCAGATGAGAGAGACTTGACTTGTGATTCTTTAAAAGGCAGGAGAGGAGAAAGAAAATTCAAAACAGGATTCTCTAGGGGGAGGAGCAATTGCTGTAATCTTACAGAGATTGTAGAAAGAGGGGGCAGCTAGAAGATATATGTGTAGCTGCGGTAGGTAAACAGCATGTTTCCTTCTGATGGCTTCCATTTTCTCAGTGAAGTAGGGGGCAAGGTCATCTACTGAGAGTTGGGGGAAGTATGGGGTGATGTGGGAGGTTAGAGGAGGGTGGAAAATGCCTGAAATAGTCCTAGCAGAGAGTAGAAGAATGTATTGATAAGAGAAATGAAGTAAGACTTCAGGCAGTCTTGAGGGCGTAGGTGACATGTCTGTCCAATAAGGTGTGATTTTCTTAGTGCTTCATTCCCCTGGTCAGACAGGGAGAAAATACATAATAAGGATCATCCAGGGTTTATATTTTGCCAGTTAAGTAAAACAAAAAGTCAGAGAACAAGGGAGTCTAGAATATTTGCACAAGAATTATTGAAACTGTGAACTAGGGAATTTAAGGTGGGTAAGTGGGTAAATAGATAGATTGGAAACTAATAGGTAAGAAGACAGAAATATATCAGTGACTTGGTTGTCTCATAGGGTCAAAGATGGTTGTAGTGAAAGGGAATTATGGTCTGAGAATAAGGTACTTGGATTAGTGATTACTAACTATGACTCTGATATAACTATTATTTAATTTTAACAGATTGAAATAATTTTAATTTTAACAGATTATAAAAATTCATAATTTGTCTTTGATTGCCCAACTAGTAAGCAATGAAGCTGTGATTGGAACCAAAGTTTTATCTGATTCGAAAGACTTAAGTGGATGTAAGAATAGATTTGAAAGAAATTTGAGCTAAATGTTGTGAAACCATGAACTCCACAGTTGATTCATCTCTTGAGTTTTTTATTTCTGTAAGCGGTAACTTTAGTCATCCCAGGTAAAACCTCATGGTTATCACTTACTCTTCTTTCCTCTCCTCCTATGTCTAGCCTGTCATTCTGGTATCTACCTTTCCCTTTCCTTTCTCACAGTTGCTACCTCACTTCAGTTTCTTCTTCCTTATATCTAGACAACTAAAATATGATCACCTTTTCTCTCCACTTCTGATTTACTTACCTGTCTTCTGATCTAACATTGTGTCTTTGTGATTTGGGGCTGCTATGAGAAATTGCTATACACTGGGTGGCTTAAACACATTTATTTCTCATAGTTCTGGAAGCTGAGAGGTCCAAGATCAAGGTGGCAGCAAACCTGGTATCTGGTGAGGGTCTGCTTCCTGCTTTATAGACAGCCATCTTCTCATTGTTCCCTCACATGGTAGGGAGAGAGAGCTGTGCTCTTTATCCCCGTAGAAGGGTACGTCTCAGCGTGGAGGCTCTACTCTCATGACCACATACAAACCTGATTACCCACCCCCCAAGACCCCACCTCCAAATACTATCACATTGGGGATTAGGCTTCAGATTTTGGGGGGACATAAACAGTCTATAGCACATGATCTTTAATATCTTTTTAAATTATCTTTTAATTAATATTACTGTACTTGGAAACATTCAGTGGCTCCGTTACCTACAAAGTAAAGTTGAAACAGCCTGACGTTCAGTGGCTCTGTAGTTTGTCCTTCGACCTCCTCTCCAATTTCACCTTCCACAGTGAACCTTCTGTGCTAGCTTGTTATTCTTGTGCCATTTCATTGTCTTAGCTCCGTACCCTTCTCTATCTGGAATTTCTTTCACTGTTTTTGACTCTTTCCACCTCAGTAAGTTTTACTTTTTCTTGGAAGTATTCCCTGACCACCTCAGCCCCTAGGGATCACTCGCTTTCTGTGAACTCTTGTGTCACTGTCTCTCCTCCTCCTCTGGCACGGAGGCATTTGTTATGTTTTTCATTGTCATGTGTGTCTGATGCTGGGGTAGAGCCCATTTTGAAGTTAAAATGAGGACTTTGCTTTTCATACACTGAGTTTGAGGTCAGGAGAATTGAATTTTTTGGTTAATAAAAGATGACAGACCTTACTTTTTATAAGATGGGGGAAATTACGATTTATGAGGTAGCACATACTGCAACAATGCCTGGCACACAGCAGGTGATTAATAAGTATAAGCTACTGTGTGACATGGTGTGGTTGGCCACACGCTCTCGTATGTGTGTTTTCCCTTTGTTATATTGCTCTTTTTATATAATTTTCTTTGCGTTGTTACCTTGTCTGATCTTTCTCCCATACCCATTTGTGTTTCAGCGAGGTCTGCCAATCCTTAGTGAAACACAGCTCTGGAATAAAAGGAAGCGTACCACTGCAAAAAGTGCATCTGGTTTCACGAAGTATTTATCATTCACGTCATCCTACCTTAAAGCTTCAAAGACCCCAATTCAGGGCATCATTTCATCAGTTTTCCTCTCTGACTAACCTCCCTTTACGCAAACTGAAACTTTCTCCAATTAAATATGGCTACCAGCCCCGCAGGAATTTTTGGCCGGCAAGATTAGCTGCAAGACTCTTAAAACTTCGATATCTCATACTGGGATCTGCTGTTGGGGGTGGCTATACAGCCAAAAAGGTGAGTTTAACTTTCCTACCGCTTTTCCAATTATTCAGCATGATTATTTTAAGGTTTTCATAGCATAAGTGATTTTTCTTTAGTGCAATAAAATATAATTAGATGTTTAAATATTTATTGTGTCTCTACCATATGCTGGATTTTTATTTATTGATTGATCTTAGGGAGGGAGGGAAGGAAGGAAAGATGGAAAGAGAGAGAAACGGAGAGAGAGAAATAGAGGCTGTTGGCTGCCTCCTGCACAAGCCCTGACCAGGATCACTGTGCAACCCAGGTATGTGCCTTGAACCAGAACTAAACCCATGACCTTTTGGTGCACAGGACTCTCCAACCAACTGAGTCACATTAGCCAGGGTTATGCTAGATTGTCTTAATGGTGTGAATAGTAATAGGAAAATACCTTCCAAATTTTAGTTATAATTATTGGAAATTAAAATGGCCTAGTGGAGCTCTGGCTGGTGTGGCTCAGTTTGATTGGAATGTTGTCCAATGCACCAAAGGGTCATGGATTCAACTTCTGGTCGGGGCACATACGTAGATTGCTGGTTCAATCCCTTGTCAGGGTGTGTAAGGGAGGCAGCCGATAGATGTTTCTCTCTCACATCATTCTTTCTCTCTTTTCCTTCCTCTTTCTCTAAAATCAATTTTTAAAAACCCCACATACCCTCGGGTGAAGATTTTTTTTAAAAAAGGCCTAGTAGAAGGAATACTGTGCTGGGAGTGAGAACACTTTGGTTTGATTTTTAGCTTTGCCATTTAGTGGAACAGATGGGAAACTTAAGTGGCATATTCATGCAGCTACTTCTTGGCTGGGACCAGAGGCAAGGTGTCCTGACCCCTGGTCTGTCTTCCTTCTATTCCACAGTGTTGTTTAAAGCCATGCCATGAAACCTGTTTGAAATGAGAAAATATTTTGAAATTTTACATTTCTCATATTCAGTAAAGGAACATTTACATTTTTACATGCTTGCCTGCTAATTTGTTTTTAGAGGAATTGAGGCCACTTTGTTTCTAAAACTTTTGAACATAATGTATCACTCTTAGTAGATTAGCATGTTTTAATTAAAATAGTTTTTCTTATATTTTTATATGGCATTCAGAGCATTTGACTGGCATTCTTTCTTATCTTTTAGACTTTTGATCAATGGAAAGATATGATACCAGACCTAAGTGACTATAAATGGATTGTGCCTGACATTGTTTGGGAGATTGATGAGTATATTGATTTAGGTTTGTATCATCAACATTAACTTTTTTTTTTTGGTCTTATCTATAGGAAAAAAAACTAGTTGTGTTGAGATAGTTTCCTAACTCATGAGTTGAATGTGTAGTAGTTTTATTTTAATGATAAAAATAATAGACTATCAAAGAAAAAATTTATGAGAAAAAGAAAGTATCTACTAGTCCATCACTTTAACAAAGCTGCCACTGTCCTTAAGGAGCATGCTCTTTTAATTGCAGCAGTTTTGTGTATGTGGTTAATATTTTTGTTTCCTTTTTAAAAATTATATAATCGTAGTGAACATACCCTTTGGTATCTTATCTTTTGCTACCTAACACATTTTGTTTGCATTTTCCATACTACCAAGCAACCTTCCCAAACATCATTTTCAGTGTTGCGTGTTACCCAGAACTGATGCACTATAACCCACTTAACTAGCTCTTTTTGATTGGATACTTTGGTTATCTCTATTTTTAGTAACCAGATTCTTTGAAAGTCTGCTAGTGTCCAGAGTAATTTCTCCCTATTATCAGCCACTGTCCCCCTTCTTCTAACAATAGGTAGGTGAGAAAATGTATATTTTATAGCTGTGATTGTCAGTAAGTCATGGTGATTTTTAAAAAATTTTTGGATGAAATTATTTTCCCCAGTCTCTTTTTAAAAACTATTTAATTTCTTAGCTTAAGTGTATATGGGGGTGGAATTAATCTCTACATACACTTATTCACAGTACTTTCTTTAAGATAAAACTGCTGTGTTGACAAAGATATTTGCAGGAAACATACTCTTTCAAATTATTTTTTTAGTATTCATGAGGATTGGTTTTTAACTCAATACATTTGCCAGTACCATGGTATGGTGTCCGAGAGCCTGGATTCTGAACCTAGACTGCCTAGGCTTAAAACCCTGACTCCCTCTCTTCTTTGCTGTGCTGGGGTCCAGTTCCATAATCTCTGTTCCCCAGTTCCTCATATGTAAAATGGGGTGATCATAGAAATTTTGTAGGGTTGCTCTGAAGATTAAGCAAGTTAATGCTTTTATAGCACTTAGAATAATAGCTGGCATATATTCTTATTCTGAGAATATTTATGCGTTTTGGTCTTCTCCAGAGAAAATCCCTTCCTAATTCAGAAGACCCTATAAAGTTGTACCAGACTTAGACAAAATTGTTGAATGTTTTTAAACAAAAATAAATGCTTTGACCATTTTATAAATAAAACAAGCTAAAATAAAATAAAAGCTTGCCTTGGGCTCTTAATTATTACCAGTTGGTAATAGGGACTATGAAAAGAGGGAGAGAAGCAATGGAATTCTGTTCCTGAGCTTGAACTGGGATGCGATCACGTTTTGAGTTAGGCCAGGTACTGTAAGAGATGTTTGTCTCTTTTTTCTTTGATTCTTTGCCTCTTTGCTGTGACTTCCTTCCCAAAAGTACTTCCAATTCCAGTCCAGTGTTAACATTGTTTATACAGTGCTCTGTCTCAAGGCATTTAACTTATAAATCAAAAGTCTCCATCTAAGCCATGTGTTTGGTGAGTCTTTTTAAAAAAATTGTATGGCTTGTGAAATATCATCAGAATAACACATTGTTTCAGATATATATGTAGCAGCCGTAGTTGTAATAAGGAGAAAATGGAAAAGGGTTTTAATTTAAATGTATATATAGTGATATTTAAATTTTATTAATGTCTTATTACTTTGAGACTGAATGAAGTTTTTGTGTGTGCGTCTTCTCCAGAGAAAATTAGAAAAGCCCTTCCTAATTCAGAGGACCTTGCAAAGTTGGCTCCTGACTTTGACAAGATTGTTGAAAGCCTCAGCCTGTTGAAGGACTTTTTCACCACAGGTAAGGAAGGACCTGTGTTTGATCTCATTTAAAATGCTAGGAATCACAGAGGAAAATTAATTAGGTGTATTTATTTGTTTATTTCCATCTTTTAAATGAAAACATTTAGTACAAATGAAACACAGGTTTTTGGAAAAAATATATAATCATGAAGTTTTGTTGTGCAGTGATTTTAATTTTTGTTTAGCCCAACAGAATGAAAGTTTGCAACAACTTAAGCTAGACCTTAGTCAGTGAGGGGGAAAATATCACTTGTTCTTGACAAGTAGATGAGACTTCCTATGTGTTTGCTTTTCATAATTGGTTAGAGCCAATTTGGTGATTTTAAAACAAATTTTATTATGATAGACCATAATGAGTAGAATTTACTAAGGTTAATCCTGGTGTATTTGCCCAATTACTGCCCTATCTTGATATATACCTGAGATCTCAGACATCTTTGTTTGCTCATTCCTGTTAAAGTTTTACATTTCTATTTCCCCTTTTGCTGATTTTTCACAGGTCACAAATTGGTTAGTGAAATCATAGGAGCTTCTGACCTACTTCTCTTGTTAGGTGTGTAAACAGACATTTTTGCTGATCTTAACATGCCTTCTAAATGCTTCTAATAAACTACTTGCAAATAAAATTGCAGACCAAATTTGTAATGCTGCTTATGCTAAATTTCAAAACCCCAGAATTATATTGGGCAAATTCATTCTCCTTTAGGTGGAAGTAATAAAGTAATTATTTTGTAGTAAAACTAAAATTCCTAAATATGTATCTGTATTTTAAGATTAAAGCTATTAAAAAGAGAGTTTGCTTTACCAGAATATTTTCTTGAAATTGATCTGATTGTTTTTGATAATTGAAATGAAAAGTAATTTTAGTTTGTCTCATCTGTCCTGTCATAGGTAACATTTTAAATTTATTTTTTTTGCTATATGTAATCTTTACATAATGGCAGTGGTATATGGCTGAATTGTAAGTACACTCATGTAAAATACTTATCAAAAATTGCCTTATTTTTTTATTGTAATTTTCAGTGATATTTTTAAAAATAGGTTAAACACATGCTACAACTTAAAAAAAAAATTTTTTTTTTTTTTTGCATGGGTTAAATAAGAATAGTTTTCCAAAAAAAGTGATACTTACTCTAAAATCCATTTACCTTTTCTTAAAATTTTTATTTATTTATTGTTGACTGTGACAGCATGGATGGACCTGGAGATTATGCTAAGTGAAATAAACAAGTTAGAGGAAGACAAATATCACCTGATCTCACTTATATGTGGAATCTAATGAACAGAATAAACTGATGAACAAATTAGGTCTTGAGACATGGATGCATGGAACAGACTGACATCTCAGAGGGAAGGGGAGTGGAGGGGACAGGAAGAGACAGGTTAACCAAAGAACATACATGCATATAGGTATAACCCATGGACACAGACAATAGTGTGGGGAAGGCAGGGGCTGGATATAGGGGGCAAAGGAGGGGAAAATGGGGGACATCTTAACATAATTTGGAATTTAGATTATTGACATCACTGGAGAATTTAAAGGACTGCGTGTTTATTTTGAAGGTTCATCTGGAGAAACCACGTTTAGAGCAACAGATCATGGACCTGAAAGTGACAAGCATTATAGAAAGGTAAGTATAAAGGAGAATTCTTCACCTAGATAGTCTTGTAAGATTTTTAAAATGTTTTTAACTTACCTGCAAGACTTGAAAATGGTAACATCTGAGGAGCAAATATAAAACACCTAAACAGAGTATTGTTACTAACCTTGGTACAAAATGCAAGGTATATACAGCATAATTTATGAATATGATTGGAGAAGTCTATTTCTTTCAGATATGTTCTGCGATATATTAGTTTCAACAGTTTGTTCCTAACGAAGGGTTTGTTGTTAAATATGTATGGAAGAAGCTGGTATAAATAAAACAAGCAGGCTTTTTTTCTTTTCCCTTGGATTTCTCAGATCTTAATATACTTTTGCACTTTGTGAAGCTCCAGGAGAAGTCAGAGTGTACAGGGTTTTCCAGATTTATTTAGCAGCAGAGCCCTTGTTCATGAAATATCTTCTAGGGACCAGTGTTTTATGATATACACTTAGGGGAAATATTAAGGGAGTAGAAAGCAGGTTATAGTAGGGAATAAATCCTGTTACACTGATAGTCAACAAAATTATGTATGTATGGGGTTATTTAGGGTTTGTCAATTTCAACACATACATTAAAAAAATGCATATGACAGTTTTAAGAGAATCGCTTATGTAGTATAACATACATTGCTCTGTAACCTTACATTTTCTTAGTCTTTTTTTATATTTTGGAATTGGTAAGATGACTAATTCCTTGAATATTAAAAAGTGTCTAGATATATAGATATCTGGAAAAAATACTCTGTGAACATTTAAAAATAAATGTGGACTATGTAGCTTTTATACTGAAGGTTATGGTATGAATACATTGAAAAGAAATTATTTCATGTTTGAGAAGCAGGAAGAAAATTTCTATGTATAGGTTTCTATTTCTCTTTCCTTTAACTTTGAACTTTTTACATAATATTCCAAGATTTAATTATATTTCAAGAGGTGTTTGGTTTTTTCTTTTACCTTTTAGCTTGATCTTTTGGAGAAAATATATTTTGAAACGTGTGTGTGTGCGCACACATAGGTGTGCATTTCCCTTTTAACTTTATCTTTCTTTACATCTTTTTCATTGGCTTTGTTATAATCAAGGAACACCCTTGACTATTCATGCTACTGGGGAGAAAAAATTGAATAGAAATTAGCCAATTGTGCACAGCTTAATTTGATCCAAGGCCTTGGTCCTTAATACAGGTAGACCTACTGTACAGAGAGGAGCTAATCTAATGGGGGAGAAGGAACTTCTGTTATAGATATGGTAGTGTGTTTTTGAGTGACAAGATTTCTTGTTGCCTAGGTTAGTCAATGGAGGTCTGCATCTCTGCTTTTCTCTGCTATAGCCTAGGATCATTTTGGTGAATGAGAAACCTATTTCAGGGCCTGACTCAGATAATTCCCTTAAGATCATACTAAGGTGATACATGAACAATCAATAAAAAATCAGGAGCTCTACAATATGGGAAATGCAAGAGTATGGATCTCAGGGAGTTTAATTATTTTTACAGATTTGATTTTATACAGCAGACATAAAATCAAATTTATTGCTTTATTTTATAATTTACTCCTTTGCTTGTAGGAAGATAAATACCCTTGTAGACTATTTTCTGTTAATTTTTTCTTAATTTATGGTGATTATCTTGCCCATTAAAAAACTCACCAATTATTATTTTCAACTGTTAGTTGTAAATACTAAATCTAGAGTTGGAATTAAGCTGCTTTTTTTACAGGCTAAATCAAACTGTAGCAAATCCTAGTATAAAAATTAATATACAGAAAAAGCATTTTAAGCCTCTACTAGTGGTTTTAATGCTATTAATATGCAGCATTATGGTTTCAAGGCTTGACTGTTACCTGTGATACTTGAGAATAATGAACCATTCAAATAAGATGTAGGAAAACTGATTTTAAGAGTTCTGGCTACAAATTGATGGTTTAAGGTAATGAAGGAGAAACCTTAGCTTAGCCCTAGCCTTTTTGAAATTACTCTAAAACATCGAGCTTGAAAATTTGGGCAATGATTAGAGGTGGTAGGATAGCAAGCATTCAGAGTTTAGCTGATACCTTTTTGATTGGTTTGGTCTGGTGTCCAAGAGCTCCAGATTTAAAACAGTATTCAGGGTTTGAAGCAGTCATACCTTAGCTTAATGGTTGTCTGGTTTGAACCTAGGTTTCTGGCTGGACTTCTACTAGAAATATAAAAGTAAATGTGAATCATATTTTTAAAAATAATAGTAATAAATTGAAAACATTTCAACAACTAGAACTAAAAAAAAGATTTGTGCTTTCTAATAGGAGAACACATCTGGAGAAGTGCTGGCAAGTAGTGGAACAGTTAGGACCTTTCAAAGTCAACTGATGTGAAAGTGACGGGCAGTTGAGGGAACACAAGTCAGATTGTTTGACTTGAGTCAGACAGAATGAACAACATGATGAAGTGATTACCTGTGGTTCCCAGTCTGGGGCACTAGACTTTTAGGTGTTCTGGAAAGTTGTAATGGATGTCTTCAGAAGGTCAGCAGAAAGCACACCTTTGCACATAAGAATGTATGGGCTGACTAGACATCAACTTTCTTTGATTTTTGCCTGGATTAACATCCATTCAGTTTGTGGACAGTAGTTATTTATGTTATGTTGATGAAAAGTTCTGGTATGTATCTTTGATAAGTAAAAAAATGGAAAAATACTGAAACCACTTTTTAATAAATGTTATTTGTTAATCAAAAATTTTAAAACTTGTGTCCTCTTTAAAATATTAGAAAGAGCCCTTGTGTGAACTGAATAATATTTTTGAGACTTGGAGACCTTTAGAACTACCTGAAAACAAATTAGAAATTGGAGTGGTGAGCCTATTTTAGTGGTGAGCAAATTGATTTAGTAGATTTCTATATATTAGTCATAATACATTAACGGTGACAAGACTACTTAGTGTATCTCCCTTTTTAGATTCAGTAAGATTGTTGTGTTGTAGTGAAAATTTGCTAAATGAGACATTTTATTATCTGTGCTTTTGTTCTATCATGTTTCTAATTGTTCATAAACATATCACAGAAATAAGGAATATGGTCATTCTAAAGGTAACAAGCACAATTATAATTTATAGAAAATATTTGGAGGACCTTTTAGCAGTCTAGATCATGAAAATATAATTTAAATATAATTATTAAACAGTAATACATTATACTGCTTTTCTTTTCCACATGTTACTTTATTTCTTATTTGTGTGGCTTATATTGTACCTCCCAGCTGAAATAACTCTCTTTCCTTTCCACTGCCTCGTTACTCATCCTTAAAGCCCAGCTCAGTTGTCACATGCATTCAGGCTTCTATAATCATTTTCATTCCATTAATTATATGCTTCACATTTAAAACTCTTGCCATATGTAACACTATCTATTTTGGTTTGCATTCTTACTATTGATGGAATATTCCTACCACAGAATCTCTGTTCTCAGAGCACCTGGGATAGTGCTGAGGTCTTAGCAAAATCAGTTGATTTAAAGTAATAAATTTGATTGATGCCAACAAGAGTGGGCCTAAAGATTTTATGTCATATGTCTTTTTGCTCTGATTACCTGTGAATTTCTCTTGGCCTTCAATATTTGGCAGCTATTGAGGAGAACAAGAATGTGAAGGTAGTACATACTGAATTGTAACAAAGCAGTGTTTCTTAAGTACTATTTACATTTCTGGAATTCCTTATATAACAAATGTGGTAATAAAATGAGATTCTCACAGCCAGCACCATCAGGTAACTACAGAGTCAGGAAACTTGAGTTGCCTGAGCATCTAACGACCAGAAACTTATGCTTGGTTAAATTCTTAGCCAGGAAGCCAAATCACTGTGTACTGGAGTATAGTGGATGAGAAGCAGAAAGATCAGAGGAAGAAAAACTGAGAGGAACTGCATGAGAAGTGGAGTGGGAAAACAGGCACCCTTACTTTATTCCTTAGTAATATGCATACTGCCTTTTTATGTCATTTAAAAAACATTAATTATATATATATACACACACACATACTGTATATATAACACTTCATAGGAAATTTGGAACAAAGGGGATTTATTAGATACTGTAATATTCATAATACTATTACTAATGGACTGATTTGTTTATCTTTTAAAATTATTATTTGTAGAAACTGTCCAAGTAGTAAAATTGCATATGGTATTTCTGAATTGAAGTAAGTTAAAGAATCCAAGTCGAAAGACACATTTCCTTCTGATAACCAATAATAAAACATTTTTCAGTTCCCTATAATTATCATAAGCATTTGTGTATTATTGAGAGAGAGAAAAATAGGAAAATAGTTCTTTTTAGCTAATCAAATAGCAGAACTATTCAAACTGAAAAGTAGTTTAATGACTAGAACGTTTTTTAAATAGAAGAGGAACGATGTCTTCACTTTCATAAAGTTCTTCTCTGGCCCCAAGTTATTTATAAAACTCGTATAGCAGGGATTGGCAGACTTTTCCTTAAATATTTTAAGCGTGCAGGCCATAAGGTCTCTGTGGGCTACTCAGCCAGCCCACCATAGTTTGCCTCCTCCTTGTTTTAATATAGTTTGAACCTGAAGGGTCAGAAGTACTTTGAAAATAATGAGAGCGAAGTGTTAACAGGATGGTATCAGGTACAGATTCTGTAGTCACTCTGTCTGCATTCAGATCCTGCATTTTCTGCTTTCTAAGCTGTGTGACTTTGGACAAGTTCCCTAGCTTCCCTGAGTTTCTGTTTACTCTTCTGTAAAAGAGGAAATCCTACCTGATAGAGTTGTCGAAAGGACTATGGAAAGCCCTTTAGCATAAGATCTGGCACATAATAAAATTAAATAAATATTGGCTATTAGGATGATGATGATGATGACTATGATCATTATCTTAGACTTTTAGTGCATAAGTAAACAGTATATTAACGTCATATGATTAATTTCCTCCCCTTAGTCTCTGTGGAATCTGTTCTGGGGATTGTGAAAAGTAAGAAAATGGATTATAGGATTGATTAGTAGCTTATCTACAGAATAGTCATTTTTTAGGAAACCAGTTTGGATTTTATGCTGGAAACTTTGCAGTATTAGGTAAAAGTAGGTTGTAATTTGATTCATTCAAACAACAGACATGTGTCATGCCCTACTCTGTGCTGGCTCGAACACATCCAACATGTCATTGTTCTAGGTACTAGGTATAAAAACAAACAGGGTAGGGGCCCTGCTCTGCTATACATTTTTAAAATATGTTAAAAATATAGTATTTTAAATGTACTCACATATGAATGACTTATAACTTCAAGATTATTTAAAAATTTTTTCTACCAAACTCATCAACTTCTAGGTTTTTGCAGCATTTTCAGTTACTATTTTGGTTTCTGGAGTTATCACTGATTTTGTTGACCTGACATATTTTTAAAAACTGAGAACACTGTACATGAAATATGAGACTATGAGAGCTTCAGTGTCAAATTGACAATAGCTAGGTGTTTAGAGAGTATATTACCTAGTTGTTTACAATAACTTTGTAGCAGTTATATTTTATATATAATATATATCATTTAAAAATAGGTGCTATTTTTTGAGAGAAAAATGTCTGAGCTTAGGAAAATATTTACTGGGGAAAAATGTGTTTTGTCCATTTAAGGAGTGTATCTTGCACAGTAGATACACATATTTCTTCCCCTTTGTATTCCACATGGCCTTAACTTAGAAGATGTATAGCCTATCACTTGGTATTTAGGGTGAGATTTGGTGCCTAAAATTGGATAAGGGTAACATCCGTTAGTCGTGTAGCATAGTGTAAATAGCTCTTTCTATGTCTAATTCTTGTGTTTTTTTCCTACTTATTTTTCAGGAGGTAACAGTTAATTTCATCTATATTCACATAACAGTGCTTCCTTCAGTAACAGACTTGGAAGGAAAGTGAAGTGTCACTAGAAAGAGGGTGCTTTCTTGTAATGTAATAGATATTAGAGTATTTACCATACAATTTATATAGAAAATAAACAATAAATTAGGGAAGAGTGTTTAAGCTATAAATAAAAAAGAATTGTGTGACTGATAGACCAGCACAGTTAAGGAAGGTGGAATATTTTATCGCTGCTTTGGCATTGTATAAATTAGAATACCGGTTGGTATATTAGCTGAAGCACAGGTACACTACTATATAAGCCAACATGGGAATTCCCTTCTTTAAAGGGGAATTGTTTTGAAAAATCGAAACACTTGGATAATTAAAAGAAGTAACTGTGATAAGTTACTAAAGGAATAAAAGGAAGTGGATTTGGAATAAAAATAAATTGGATCTTTCTGCTTGATGAAAAACAGTTGAAAACATGACATAAAAAATTATGGGAATGATGAGGTAGTGAATTGGCATTGTCTTTCTTTGATTGACTTATCAAAGACCATAAAAGTATTTATTTAAAAGATACATCTTTATAGATGAGGTTTTTATAAATGTATCTTACACTGTTGAATTTGGAAACAGTGTTGAAATTTATGTTACCATTTGATGTTCTCTTACTTGTCATGCAGAAATATCAACTAGTTTTATCCTGATTGATAGTGAGCCAGTGCCATTATTATTGGCAATGATTATAGCGTCTTGTATTAAAACTAAGAATCAAACAAAATAAAAATCCCCCAAATTACACGCTAATACTTTCCCTTAATTTAAAGTGCTTTTTTGTTTCTATTTGCTTTTTCTCTGAAAAACTTTTATTTCTGTAAGTTTTTGGATTATATGAAGTAAACGGTTATAAAGCCTCTGGGTGAGTCTACTAATTAAAATTTGAATGTATTTTAAGAGACTTTCTAATTGCATTATATAAAATAAAATATTTTTGACAGTTATTTTAAAAAGCTCTGAAGCTATCTGAAACTCCTAATTTAGGTTATTTTAATGAGTATTAGTTTTCCTAACTCTTTTTATTTTTATAATCTGATAAATATTGAGCCCATTGTTTTCCAGATCACTATCCTTAGGCAAATTAGTGACCTCATTTATTGGAACATAGTCTTTTTAGGGTTTCTAATTGAGAAAATATTTGGCTTGTGACATTGTCAATTTTTAGTTGTCTTTTCTCCCACATTTCTCAAGATCAGTTATCTAATAAGGCAGGAGTTAAAACTATTGAACAGAAAATGACATATATTTTAGTATCATGACACATGTGAATACATTGTGATAAAAACTGTACCAGATTAGCATTTCATGATTATTGAATGGAATGAATTTTAAACATAGAAATGGTGATTATTTTGTACATAGGTCCAAACTGGGTTTTGTTTTATTTTTAATTTTTATAATTATTATATTATCTCCATCTCTCAATTGTGTTCTTTTATAGTACTTTTGCTTTAATGATTGATATATCCTATATTCTCAAAGACTATTTTTAATTAATGTCAAAACAGCTCATAAAAAGTGAAAATTTAGTCAGACTACTTACTTGATGTTGTGTAAAGTTAAAACAGTGTCTAAAACTTTATTTTTTAATTTGCAAAAAGAAAAAACTCTAAATTTTAGTCAAATAAGCCTGCATGTATAGGCATGTAGAATATATGAATTAATGTAAAACCTTGATTAACTTGATGCTCAGAAATTCAAATTAATAGTTTTGAGGGACTATTAATGTTTAATTGAAGACATCAGATATGAAGTAAAAATACTTAAAAATAATAATTTAATAAGTAAATAAACCATTATGTACCCTCTGATCAGTCCTATGAGAATTGTGGTTGAGAATTAAAAGATTCGGGCCTATACGGTCAACACTTGTTCAAGAACTGTTTCATATTTCCCTCGTGGGTATAAAATCTAGAGTATAAACTAGTTCATATTGGCAATTCAAACATATGGGCTGAGGTATGTGTTTTCTCTAGTTTCCTGTTACTAGGAAATTTATTCAGTCACGGCACCAGCTTCCTTGAGCATTCTTGGTTAGCCTACGTTTTATTGTAGGTTGATATTGCATATTTGGTTCATTTTATTCAGCAGTCACTTACTGCATGTTCCTTTTCACTTTTTAAACTGTGCTGTTTTATATTTCTGAGACATCTAATTTTACTAAGGGGAAAAAATGGAAATGTGGTACAGAGTCCAATTATATAGTGGCTCTTAAAGGTGCATAAATGTTTCCATTTTTTATATGATTTCCATTCCTCCCTAACTTACATCTGTTCCTTTCTTGTGCCTTTGGTTTAACATTGTTCTCCTCCCCAATTTTCCTCTTCTCCTCATCATAAACTCATGGCAGGGTCTGCTTGGTGAGCTCATTCTCTTACAACAGCAAATTCAAGAACATGAAGAGGAAGCACGCAGAACTGCTGGCCAATATAGCACGAGCTATGCCCAACCGAAGCGCAAGGTGATGGATGGTTTAAGGGGGCTACTGATGTGTTCGCAGTAATCAGCCATTTCTACCAAGATCATGTCGCCTTAATCCATTCATGGACTCCAATTATGAGAAATTATTTTTGACAAAGTAAAAATATGAAAGATACATAATACAAATATGTAGCTTTCCTGGTGTGGGTAAACATACCCAACAGATATATTTTCAAAAAAATTAGATTAACTCAAGAGTCCGTGGGTTTGTATTTAGGGAAGAATTATGAATTGTGGTTTACTTGGTCCAGTTATTTAGTCACCATAAGTTCATAGCCAACTTGTTGACTTACTTGTTCTCCAAGTTTTTATTTCTAAAATGAAAAGGATTACTATGGATGACCATGTTAAGTTATTTAAAGAATGAAATGTATTTGTTTTAGCTGAAATGGATCTGCAGAGAACAGTTTCATTTTTTTATAGATGAAAACTAGTTTTATTTCACTTTTGGGCATAGTTGGTAAATTCATTGCATAAAGTTTGTCCACATTCGTCAGTAAAGTCAGCACAAATAAATTTTACCTTGGACCACTGAAAGAACATTAGAAATCTGATCTAAATCTGTTCGCTAAAGAACAGATTCTAATAAAAGTCAGCATAAATCTATATAAATACTTGGTTATAGGTACACAACCAAGAAGACCTTAAAAATATGCTTTTGGCTGTTAGATGATCCCACAGTGTATATCCCAAGGTTAATGTTTAAAAGGACTTTCAAGTCAAAATGAAATGAATGTAATGATTTTAAAGTTATATTCTGATGAAATCAGCTAATCACATTATATTAGAAAAGTTTTAAAGTTATGTGCAAATCTTAGGAAAAAAGATTCAATCATACATATAATTAGCTTCCTTGTAGGTTCTGATTTGGAATCAAGCAATATTATAATGATTTAGTGCAATACCTCTGCTGACTAACCTTGTCTCATTTTGGTGGTTAATACTTGAGAGCACTTATCACAGTTTCATTTATTTATTCAGTTTCACTCCCTGGCTTTTCTCAATTCCATGGCTGTAGAATCAACTACTGTATATATTTAGCTTTCAGTGAGTGAATAACAATAGGTAGATGTAGAAAATAAATTATTTTCCTACTTGGTTAAATTAAAGCATGTGTGTTACCAAAGAAAGATTTATTTTAAATGGTGCTTTAGCATTCTCTGTTCTGTATGCTATTGCAAGTGCATTTAAACAAATAATTTAGCAAATTGGATGCTTAGGCTCATCCTTCTAGCTTTGTTACAGAAGGAAGGGGAAGGAGTTATTATGTCCTGTTACGTTATTTAGAAATATGAATATGGTTCCAGTTAAAAGTTGTTCTTAAGTGTTCATATTGGTAAAATAATTTAAAATGAGTCCTATAGATCTGCCATTTTCAGATTTTAAGATATGGTTTAAGATTTTTTTAATCTGATGATATAAGGGCTATTCGTAGTGAGCACTATTTATTTTCTGCATTGCCAAAGGTTAATGCTCATTTGAGATCTACTTGCCTTTTTTCAGGCATCGAGATGTTCCTATTTCTAATACTTGTTGGATTATCCACATAGCTCTTCTGTTCCTCGCTTTCCTTGTTTGTAAAATAGAGACTGACAGGACTGTACCCTCATCTATTTATTATGACACACAGTGGAGCACCAGACCGAGCCTTTTCCTGCCCACTGTGAGGTTACCTTGTGTGAAAGTAAATGGGACTTTAAAAACAATTGATGCTCTTCTGTACTGACCTCATTCCCATTACTATTCTGAAAGATAGTTTTTTTACTGTACCTTCCCTCCTTTCCCCCTATAGTTAGTACACAGATGACTTTTCAGCTCTTCCCTATCATAATGATCAAAGTCCTAATTCACAAGATTTTTATCATTCCAGGCATTTGATGTTTACTTGAGGTACAAAACATAGCTTTTTGTTGCTTTTAATCATTCTTTCTTCCTTACCTTCTTGAAAATATAAGTAGGTCTTCATTTTTTATATCTTAACTAGTAGCAGTAGCTAATAATTTTTCCCTGTATCTTCTGAGCAAAGGAGCTCATGCAGTGATAGTAGATTAAAACTGCCTCTAGTAGTTTTGCCTCTTATGAATATGTACCCAAAGACATTTTTGAGTCTTTTCAATTTATATATTTTGGTATTTCAGAATTGCCACAATGGCTTAGTAGGAAAAAATACTTAAAAATTTAAAATCAGGCTTGGTTTTGTGAGGAGCTAGTAAAGGTTTTTGTCTTTCAGCTTTAGCTTGTTTCTGCGGAGGATTCCGCTCTTTCTCCATCTGTTTCACAGCCCTGGAATTGTAGAAAAGCCCTGGTTTCAAGACCATTGATACCCATTTCTGTCAGGGTGAGTTCTAAATTCATTTCCTCATACAAACTGAATATATTAAACCACAGGACAAGAACTTATTCTTGTCATAAGGAGTTGAATTTTATCAGTAAAGTGCATCACAATAAAATATACCCAAAATGCTAGTTAAGACCTTAAGTAAGTGACAGGTTAAAAATAGCATGTGCTAGTCTCAAGAAAATATGTAGAAGTATCTTCTCATTAGTCTTTAATACTTATTTTGTAAACCTAAAGGCTTTCACTTTGTTTCCTAGAAAATATTAGGTGTAATTCTTGACACCACTATCACTTGTCTTATAACATGAATTTTGATGTTTCATTAATTTAAGGAGATAGAAGGTAAGACAGTCATGCAGAAGGGCAAAAGATAAATCTAAATACTCCTAAAAATATGAATTTATAAAAATCTTAACAGTTATGATCCTAAATACTGTTGGCATAAAGATCGTGTTTGTAGTATTCTAATAACCTTTTATCATTTTAACTTTTTGTATACCCTTTTTATTTTACCAAATTACTAAATTAACCTCTTAAGCCCTTGGCTTATAGTAAAGAGTCTAACTTTTTTGTGTAATTGTATTGGTTTCTTAATTATTGCTCCACTGTATAGAGCAATGTTGAATTTTCTCTTGTAATTTAGAATATGTTGCATGAAATCATTAAATATTCACATTCAAACTAAAATAGTTTATACTAATACTGTTTATACATTTCATACTAATTTAACTGCAGTTGGATGAATATTTAATGGAACAAAGTAAATCAAAGTATCTTTTTAAATGAATTGGGAATTTAATTTGCATAACAAAATTTTATGACCACATTGTTAACAGTGTGATGGCATGCCGTATGATTGAAATGTGGAATTATTTGTTTCTTCATTGGCCTTCAATATTTTGTTCTTTGGGTTGTGGGCTCTTCCGCAACTTTCTTGTTTCCTCACATTTTAGGAGACTATTAATAATTCTTGTCCATTCTACACAAACACTGTCAAATGAAAAAAGTTTTTATCCACAAGTCCTGCTTGCTATACAGGAATGAGAAAACAACAATAAAGTTTGTTTTATGTTATCATTTTTTCTAATTACTGAAACATATTTAGAGATTTTTAGGCATAGGCCTTTAAGGAAAAAAATAAATATGTAACTATCATTTCTAATAAGCATTGTCATTTTTATTTAAAAGAAGTGTTTGGAGAAACTTTTGAGAAAATATTTGAAAATAGGAATTAAAATCTCTAACTTTATTGCATGGATGAGAATTATTAATGCCTTCTTAAATAAACCAGTCATTTAAAATTTTTCATATATATTTGCTACCATGATGCCTTGATTGCTTAGACAATGAATAACAAGGATTTACATGAATTTTAACCTGATTTTTGTGTTTTATGAAATAAATTCATGTTTACAAATTTTGATTATCAGAAATTAAGTCAGTTATTTTGAAAGACTAAGGATGGCAACTTCTGTACCTCCACCAAGAAGTCAAAGCACAGTTATATGGATTTGTCATAAATGGCATCACTTTGATTAAAATTGATCATTGTGTTTTATATTTAAAATTGTCTTGTGACTACTTTCAAGCCTGTTATACAATAAACTTCTATGTTGTTTTTGGATATTTATCTTAGAACTATTAGTATTCATAACAATTTGTAGTTTCCACAATACCTGTGGATTTCATCCTACTTTTGTTTTATGTCCAAGTTAATTTTAGTTGCTTTACTCTACTTTATTGCTACTGATGCATTTGCTATATTATGTGTTAGCACACCTTGCACTAGAACTAAATTTAGAAACAATCATCTGGCTCCAGTTAAGAGCTCTGAAAATGCAAGTTGTTGTTTGCATTTATTAAATAAATACTTCCCTACTTACAGAATGGAAATGCATAATATTTGCTTAAAGTATACACTATGATCAATGAACTTTTTCAGTACCTTTAAATGATAACGTGTATCTGACTTCCAAAACACATTTCTATAGAGTTGTCTATGTTTTAGTTCCCCATGCATTCCAAGTGCCTGTGCTTGAGCACAAAACAAACTATGATGAACATAGTAACCATATATGTCTTAGTTTTCTAACAAGCCATTCATAAGAAATGACTAGAATGGGAAAAGGAAAATGATTGCTTTTTAAGGTTTTTACTTAGTATAAAATTTTGATGAGCTCTTTTTATTGATGAGTACAATTGTTTTTTACTTGCTTAAATGTCATTTGACTTAAAATCTGCTTTGATTAAATATGCATATAAAGTCAGTAGTTTTTACTCTTAAAAATACTTTTTAAAAATTTTAACTTGCTGTACAGCACATTCTATATAAACCTAATTCTACTCAAAATTAATTTCTTTTAATTATGTAGGTGTCAGACAAAGAGAAAATTGACCAACTTCAAGAAGAACTTCTGCATACCCAGGTGATTCTGATGAGTGAGAACCAGGAACTTTTTCTTACACTCGAATATAAGTTTGGTGATGTGGGAATTAATTTTTTTAACAAAAAGCTAAATTTGGTATGGTTTAATGATAGAACATTATTATCAGTAGGTGCAAAAAAAAAAATGCAAAAGCTAATTGAAAAATAAGGAATAAAGGACCTTAAAGTGTGGTTGAGTTAAAATGTGTAAAAACCTATTTTTGAATGAACCTTGTGCTTATAATTTAAAGAAAAACTATGGAAAAAATGAAAGAAAGGGGTTTGTCCTTATGTAAACCTATGCTTACATTTTTACATTTATAGGCTAATTTAAGTAGCAGTTGAGTCTACCACTGTTGTAGTGAACCCTCAGGAACTTTTTCCTTTGCTTCTCTAAAGTCCCAAACCAATCAGATTACCAAAGAATGGTTTCATCCCCAGAAATTATGTAGATCCCATAATTCATTACATATTTACAAAGAAATGAGCCAGAGGAAATCCTACCACCCTTATAACATTCATTGATATAAACCTGTGGACTTGTGCATTTATACTTGTTAGCCACTGAGCATTGACGCAAACACTATGGAGAATTTATGATATAAGTAACCCTGTGGTTATCTATATCTGTAATATCCAATAGAAATATAATGCAATCCACATGTGTCATTTAAAATTTTTACATTAAAATGTAAACAGGAACATGTAGAATTTATTTTAATAATATATTTTATTTAACGCACTAGATCCCAAATAGCATCATTTAAACATGTAAATAAATCAGTATAAAAAATATTACGTGTTTTATTTAATTATTTATTTACTGAATCGTAGAAATCTGGTGTGTATTTTACACTTAACATCACATCACGATTCAGACTAGCCACATTTTTTTGTACTTAATAGCAACATGTGGCTAGTGGCTACTATATTAGAACAGCAAAGATCTAGTTCTTAAATAGGGCCAGAATTTTGTTATATATACTATTATTATATGCAATTATTATATACTATTATTACATACAAGTGAATAAATTCTGTAAAAAAAGGTTTATAGTAGAATCTAACTTATAGTTCTACCTGTCTCATACTATATAAACTAAACAATATGTTTTTCTTTAATTTGGCTTAAGTTGGACATTCTCTGAGGATAGTACCATGAGTTCCTGTTATTTACTATGTTCTTGGAAAATTGATTACAACCTAACAAAAAGTTCTAAGAAATATTTTCCATTATAAAAGACATGGTATTATAAGTTGAACATAAACATTCTGCTGGTTGTAGGGTGGAGTAGTCCTTAATAGTTTTCCAAACCTTGTTACTGCCTAGAGAAGAAATTATAGTGTGCGAACTGAGAAGAACTATTAGAAAAGTGTGGAGCCAAGCATGTACTTCGACAAAACAACCTGTCTGAACACATTAAATCTTCTTAAAATCTGTTTTATATCAGTATTTTAAAAATTAATGTGTAACTTCTGGCCACAGAAACTTACCAAAACTTGGAAGAGTTTGAGCCCTTGACTCAGACCTATATTCGAACCTGACCTTGGATAGGTTACCAAGTGTCCCTAACTTCAGGCTCCTAATCCATTTAACCTTTGCCTCTAGTGAAGGCTTAAGGATGTTAATGCAGGTGAAACATTCACTTAAGAACCTGTCACATAATGCATGCTCAGGTACTGTTAACTGTTATTATTTTATATCATTTCAATTAAAATACTATGGGGAATGGGACTAATTTGAATTTTTGTCAAATGTCCCTATAATAAGCCTTAAAATTTTGATGTAATAGGAAATATTGCTTCATGGAGTGTACTTAAGGACTGGCTTCTTTAAATGCTTACTTTTTTAAGTAATTTAATTTCTTAATTGTAAATAGCAAATAATTTTCTAAATAGCGTGCCAAATTATAATAGAAAACTATAATGAATTTCATTGTTTGAGATAATATTCATAATTTATTTTATTTTCAACATTTTCATAGGAGCTTTTTAAATGAAATAATTTATTTTAAATAGTAAGGAGATATCACTTCAGGATTGTGAAAGCTTTTAATTTAGACTTAATGAATGTTATTTATTAACCCATCTTTTTCCTATATAGTTATGGTATTATTTTGTTTCAGTTAAAGTACCAGAGAATCTTGGAACGGTTGGAAAAGGAGAACAAAGAATTGAGAAAAATAGTGCTGCAGAAGGATGACAAAGGCATCCATCACAGAAACCTTAAGGTGTTTAAGTTTATCTTTGTTTGTTCTCAGAACTCAGCCACTTCACACCACACATTCATCAGTACTAGTGTGAAAGGGACCATAAAGTGTTCTGTCCTTGCCTTTCTCACCTGCTGTCCTTCGGGGATAGGGGCATTCTCTTCCTGTGTTAGGACATTTTACAAATTGTAGTTTCCAGACATTTTTTAAACTATGCCCACAAAATTTCACACTTTTGACAGTCATTTCTCGTGAGTCAGTTTATTTTTTTGAAATAACCTAATTTGTCTCCAGGCCTATTTCATTTCTACAGCTACAAAACTAGAATTCTGAGTTGACAGACATTTATTTGTATATGACTTACCCTCTTGTGTTTCCAGTGAGTGATTAGTTTACTTTCTTCAGTTTTAAGAAAGTTAACATTATCTTCTGGAAACTTCTTTAGGCATTTTAAAAAATGTTTGAAAAAGCATATGCTGGTACTGTTATCAGCATGTTGGTAATTATCATTCTCAATATATTAAATCTTATTATTGCCCATTAAACCAAGCTGTATGTGCTAATTTAAATTGAAGTAATTCTTTTAACTTCCATCCAATGTAAGTAAACTGAATTTATGTGTAGCAAAACTATAATAAATCATGCCACATACTTTTGGTACCATGGTCCAAAGATACGTAATTGTAGTTTAAGCAACATGTACTAGTAGTTCTGACTCTAAATCATAACTGCATAAAACAAATAAATAGCATGGCTTTACTTACAGGTTACACACGTACGGCACTTGAGAAAAGTTATGTCCAAGTGTTAATATGTTTTGAGAGTTTATCTCAGAAACAGTATTTTCTGTCATAAAATAAAATTATAATGGAAATTAAAGAAATTTCTGATAATTTTTCAGTGGAGGGATAGCAGTTGCTTCCCATTTATTATTTCTAGGTGTTAAGAGATGAAAGGAACTATAGACCCTCATTTTGTCATTTTGTTTCTACCTTAGCATTAAAACTACCTTTAGTTATTAAATACTTGATAGCAGACCTTTTTTCCCCAGCCTGTGTATTTGTTCATTTATTTATCAAATACTTACTTGAACCTTGTTATCTACCAGGTACCATGTTTGATCCTGTTTCTACATACAGAGAAACAATACAGTATGTCTGCCCCTGGTGCTCTCACATTTTAATCTGCCCAATTGTCAAAGTACACTTAGTCAGGCTTACTGATTTAACAGTTTTTGGTCATTCTTTCTCCACTTTAATTCAATTTTCAGCCTTTCTCTCCACCTCCCTCCCCACCCACTCTCTATCTATCTATCTCTGTATCTGACACACACACTGCATTTGGTAGAAGATGGTTTCCTTTCAGTTGGTCACCTGACCCCTTATTTGGCATTTATGGTGTTAATGGTTTTCCTTTGTTGGGCATTTAGTATTAACTCTTCAATATTAAAGAATAACTTCCCTCTTTTACCATTTAATTAAAAGGTTAGAAAATCCTGAATTAATATATTTTAATAATCAATATATTTCTAAATAAAATAAATTGGATAAGAAGAAATGGAATTTTATTTTATATTTTACTATGAATATGTATTTACATAATTAGAAAAAACAATACAGTGATAATGGAAAAACATTTTGAATTTATCAGCTTTTTTTCTCTCGACACATCTATGGTATTTTTTTTAATGTTTTCACTGTTTAATTAATATTAATTTTTTTAATTTTATAGAAATCCTTGATTGACATGTATTCTGAAGTTCTTGATGTTCTATCTGATTATGATGCCAGTTATAACACACAAGATCATCTGCCAAGGGTAAGTGAAAACTTAATACATAGTGAACTTGCTCCTTAGCAAAAAACACTTTAGGTTTTAAAAATGTTAAACGTATATGTACATGCACACACACATACACATGCATATAAATCTATATATTTTTTTTACCTATATAATAGGGACATATATTTTTTACCTATATAATAATTATGTTCTAAGTATTAAATGTTGTTTGAGTATTTTGATCCACTGGTTGACCTATATTTATGTGAAATAAAGGAAGGCTATTAGATATTTGACATTATGTATTCATAATATCCATGATATTTAAGTACCTGAACAGTGGGTTAAGTTCAGCACATTAGAGAAATTTAACCTCATAGAATTGAAAATGTCTTTGTAAAGAGAAAACTAACTATGGGAAAGATTTGTGGAACATGAATGACCTGGTTTTAGAAATAGTGGTTTAAATTAACACAAGTTTTTAATAAAAGTTGGCTATAAATGGATCTAATTCATGTTTTGTTATTTACATTTTTAATGTGCATACACCTATCTACTATCAATTTTTTCATGGATGATTTTTTTTAATCATTTAACTGTAGATATTTTAAAAGACTAAAAAAATCTCCGCAGCATTTTAAATGTATTTAAATATACGTTGGTATAGAATAATATGAATAAATGTTATTTGTTTTGCCGTAAGGTTGTTGTAGTTGGAGATCAGAGTGCTGGCAAAACTAGTGTGTTGGAAATGATTGCTCAAGCACGAATATTCCCACGAGGCTCTGGGGAGATGATGACACGTTCTCCAGTTAAGGTAAGAACATAGGCCATCTGAATGAAGTTTTTTAGAAAAGTAATCGCTTCAGTGAGCTTTGTTCATTGTGTTGAAATGAAGAATTTTAACTAAAGAAAGAATTGACACATAGCATTTGGAATTATTCCTGTAAGAGAATTATTCCTGTAAGAAATCAGTAGGAGGCACAGCCAGGAAGCCAGTGTGACAGGAACTGAGTGAGGGGAAAGTGATGGGAGAGGAGGACAGGGGTGCAGTGGGAGACCAGGCTATCCTGTTAGTAGGCCTTTGGAGTTTATAAAGATAATTATATGCTATATGTAATAATCTATTGAAAAAAAGATGATGCAAGAGAGAGGGAGCAAAGTCATTGAGGTAAAAGAGGCTGGGACTTAGTGTATACAAGTTGTCCATATCTAGAAGCACTGGCAATTCATCCATGGTTACAGTAAGGAAGCCTATGGCTACAGAGTCTTTCATTCACAAAATATTTATTAGGTGCATAATATGTGCCAGCACTGTTCTAGGCATGTGTTGGTAAACAAAACAAATATCTTCATCATAATGGAGGATATGTTCTAGTAGAGGAAGACAGATAATAAATAATAGACATAAGTAAGTTACATAGTATGTTAGAAGGTGGTAAGTGTGCAAAATAGAGCCAGGCAATGGGAATGGTGGTGCCAGGGTGTTGGTAGACTGCATCGAGAAGGTGACAGTTGAACCAAGACTTGCTGAAAGTGAGGGAGGGAGTATGTGGGTATCTACTTCAAGAGTGTTTCATGTAGAGAGAAAGTCAGTGCAAAGCCCCTGAGGTAGGTAGGTGCTTATATGTTCAAGGTCAGTGTGACTAGAGCAGAGTGAAGAGCAGTTAGGTGATAAAGTCAGAGGGATAAGGGGGGGAGCAGATGATTAGAGCCCCGTAGGTTGTCCTGCGAACTGTGATTTTTATTTTGAATCAAATGGGAGCCAATGCAGTGTTTTGAGCAGAGTAACATTACTTTTTAAAAAGCTCACTCTGACCGCCTTGTTGAAATAGACATGGGCAAGAGGGGTAGAACGAGGGAGACCAGGTGGGAAACTATTGGAGTATCCGGGTGGTACTGGGACCAGAGTAGCAGTGAAGGTGATAAAAAATGGTTGAATCTGTCACGAAAGTAGAATCAACATGATTTTTTAACATATTTGATGTGGAAAGAGAGGAAGTCAATTGTGAGGATGACTTGAGGTTTTTGGCATGAATAAATTAAAGCATGTAATTGGCGTGGGGAAGTCTGTATTAGAGTGAATTAGCTTTCGGGAAGAAAATCAAGAGTTTGTACTTGCTGAGGGAAGTTAACAAATAAGCAGTTGGATGTAAAATTGGGAGAGCTATCTGGGCTCGAGACTAAATTTAGGAGTCATAATAAATATCTAAAGGTGGTATATAGAGCCATGATCTTACTGGATAAGCTCACTATGGGAGTGAGTGAGATAGAGAAGACAGCATGAAGGCTTGTGTCCTGGGCACTCCCAACATTAGAGATTGAGGGAGACGGAAACAGTGAAGGAGCTTGTGAAGGAGCAACCAGTGTGATAGGAGGAAAACCAGAACAGTGCAGTCAGTGTCCTGAAAGTCAGAAAGAAAGTGTCCAAGAGGAGGGAGTGATGGGCGGCGTCAGTGCTGCTGATAATCAGGTAAGGTGAAGACTGAGAACTAATTACTGAATTTACAGTAGAGGCAAGTAAGTAGAAAATGGAAGTTGCCTTCTAATTACTTCCACTTCCTCAGAGACATAAGAAGCTAGGCTATCAGCTGTTAAGTAAAGAGAGGGGAGAAGGTATTGAAGATTGAGTAAGAGGAGAGTGCAAAGCCTTTTCTAGGTGAGTGATGAGTCCAGGATTGAGTTGAGGGAAATCCAGAAATCTTAGGATTGCTGAGTCATACTGAAGTCCCCATTAAGGTCTGGACACAAACTTAACGGGACCCTGTATGATTGCGTATTTCTTTTCTTTTAGTTCAGAAGGTGGATGTATTATAGAGTAACTGGAGAATTGGAAACTTGAAATCACCAAGAATGAAGGCCAGAATAATGGTAGAAAATGAGACATTGAGGCTGATGCTAAAATCTTTTAGAAATGGAGTCTGTTTATGATGGCAACAAGCAGCCTGGTGTGATTCATGTAGAGTGCACTGGGGTCTGGCTGTGAATTCAACCATCCTGTGTCAAGCTAGTTTCTTTTTCATTGTTCCACAGCAGCGATTTTCAACCGGTGTGCCGCAAGAATTTTTAAAACATGCAATACCTGAATATTTAGTCAGGGGCACTGACCTCTTTTCCCTTAGATTGTCAAATAAAAAAATTACAGCAGCCAACACAACAACAGCTATTTGGTGTGAATGAATCAAAAGCATATCTTTTTTTTTAAGGCTCACAAAACATATATTTTTGTGTGTGCCTCAGGATTTTAGTAATTGGTTTATGTGTGCCATGAGATGAAAAAGATTAAAAATCACTGTTCTGTGATATTACTTGAATGTACCACACTTTACAGATTCATGTGGGATACTTCTAATTTAGGACCTCATATCATGCTCTGTCATGCACTGTAACAACATTGTTAACCTACCTTTTACATTGTTACCAGCACCCTAATTGTAGTGGTTATGGATGATGTTATATTTTAGGAGGAGTTCACTTTCTTCTGTCAGGTGATCCAGCATGGACAGATTTCCTTGAAACCAACAAGGCTGGTGTCTCTCTCCAATGTATCCTTACTCCTATAATAGTATTTACCAGGACTTCTCCTCCTTGGTAGACTCTGAAGTCTAGATTTTTGTCTTCCCTGAAGAGTGAGAATGCCAGAAGCTTGACTTAGCATGTTAGTCTTGTTAGCAGCTTCTTTCTACTTGTTTCTTAATGTGCAAGTGCCTTAAATGGAAATTGTGTGCAGAATGTAGGGCTCGGAATTTGGAGATTCATTTCTGCTGTACATTTTTCTCTGGTACCTTGGCACCCTAAATCGTGCCTGCTTGGTAACCCCAGCTCCTCAACCCAGTGAAACTGCTACAGGTTTTAAGCTCTTCTATCAGGCCGCCCTGTGCTACAAATTAGCAAATGCCTTGAGAGAAAATACCTGTAGGAATGTCCCCCACAAATCCTTTGGGGTCTTGGACTCAGTCCAGGTTTCTCTCTGAGGCCTTCAAACGGCTGGTTTTGGTTTGTTATCTAGCCTGTTTAGCTAATCTCAGTAGAAGGAATTGTATTTTAAAAGTGAAATCAGATCATTATAGTGAAGCACGAAAAGTTACACTTAAAAAATCAAGGAGCCCAACCAGTGTTGCTCCATGGTTGAGCATCAACCTATGATCCAGGAGATTGTGCTTCAGTTCCTAGTCAGGGCACATGCCCCGGCTGCAGGTTCAATCCCTGGTTCAGGGCGTGCAGGAAGCAGCCCATCAATGACTCTCTCATCATTGATGATTCTCTCTCTCTCCCTCCCCCTCTCTCTGAAATCAATAAACATTTATTTAAAAAAAAAAAATCAAGGAATGTGAAGTTGATAAGTTGAAACCACTGACTGTTAACCTGTAAGTTGTTAGAGAATTTCTTGCTCAACTGCACTCCTTCGGGGAGGGCTGCTTTAGCTCTCCTTTAGTTAGTACCACTCTCTTCTGTGGCACCCTAGGTGTTGCTACACTGTCCTGTTATCTCTGTATATCTCTGTCCCAGTAAGTGAGGTCTAAACCAGGGACAGTCAGTCTTCATGTTTCTCCACCCACAACGCTTGACACAGTTAGCTCTCAATAAATACATGTTAAATAAATCAGTTGTCCTTTACCTAAATTTATCTGTGAAGTTAAATGCAAGATTTTCTTTTAGTTTTGCAGGTTTTATTGGTGGTTTTGTGCTTAGTACTCTAGATAGCATGGACTGTGAAACAAGAGGGGCAGCAGTATTTTATGCCATGCAAGATATAAAGTAGCCAGCAGTCTTGTTGGGCAGTCACAATACCTGTGACAGATGTCGGGACAGTACAAATGAAGAATTCTGTGGTCTCCTCGTTGCCATGTCGACAGCCCCCAGGGATCCTCCTGATGTGTATTTGGTATGAAGGGACACCTGGATTTGTGCGATGCAATGGCCCTGTCTAGACCATGTTAGTGCTATGGGAATTAATATGAATTGTAAATGCATTATTACATCTCAGCTTTCTATTAATCTCAGGTGACTCTGAGTGAAGGTCCTCACCATGTGGCCTTGTTTAAAGATAGTTCTCGAGAGTTTGATCTTACCAAAGAGGAAGATGTAAGTAATATTCATGTGAGGTTTGTGTGTGTAACTTTATAACCTGCATAAGCTTATGAAAGACAACTAAATGGAATATTTGTTGACTGAAGATTTTCTCAGGACTTTGTTGTTTTCCCTTCATAGCTTGCAGCATTAAGACATGAAATAGAACTTCGAATGAGGAAAAATGTGAAAGAAGGCTGTACTGTTAGCCCTGAGGTGAGTGTTGCAATTCACTCAGTGTTTTATGGAAATCTAATGGTTATGATTTGAAATAAGTCATGATATTGGCATTGGCATGATATTGTTTGGATTGCTGCTATTCCAAGATAACATAGACTTTTTAAAAATAGTCCAAATAATGTATCATTTTTGCCGGTAATTGTTTAGAATAAATACTTTTGGGATCAGAAAAAGAATAACATTTTTCCGAGCACCGTATCTGAATGGGTGGCATACAGAATTTTCACAGTATATATCACCAAAGAGTTCCTAACAAACTTCCCCCCAAATTTGTTTTGTTTTGTTTTGTTTTGTTTTGTTTTGTTTTGTTTTGTTTTGTCCCAAGTAGACCATATCCTTAAATGTAAAAGGTCCTGGACTACAGAGGATGGTGCTTGTTGACTTACCAGGTGTGATTAATGTAAGTATATACAAAACTTGTATTTTATCTTATTCCTGTGTGGAAAACATTTATAATGACATTTAAAACTTTTTTCTTTAAGACTGTGACATCTGGCATGGCTCCTGACACAAAGGAGACTATTTTCAGTATGAGCAAAGCTTATATGCAGAACCCTAATGCCATCATCCTGTGTATTCAAGGTAAATCTAATCAAAAGATTTTCATTGCAGTGATACGCTTCCTTTAGCAATCCAAGCTTTGCTCTAAATATTCATGTACATAAACATACAAGATAAACATGTTTCACCCTCTGTTGTTCATTTTATTAGTAAATAGAATTGAAGTTGAGAATATTTTGATACATTTCACTGTAGGCATCATAGAAATCTTTATTGGCTAGAATATCTTTTCATAAGAAAGATGTATTAAGAAAATTTTTCTTACTATAATGTAGACACAACAGTGTAGCTTGTGGAAGTTTTTAAAATCCATCTTGTAATTAATTATTACACTGTCATTTTTAATTTTGTTTTTCAGATGGATCTGTGGATGCTGAACGTAGCATTGTTACAGACTTGGTCAGTCAAATGGATCCTCATGGAAGAAGGACGATATTTGTTTTGACCAAAGTAGACCTGGCAGAGAAAAATGTGACTAGTCCAAGCAGGGTGAGGGCAAGTTCTTTACTGTGAGACAAAAGATTCTTTATACAAGATCCAGCTGTGACAGGGACTGTTTGTAAAAAAAAAAAAAAAAAAAAAGTTCTTATGGAATGCTTTATCAGGGGTATAAAGTATTTAGTAGAAGGATTTTTCTTGGTTCTCCGTAAAAACAAAGTATTGGAAAGTTATAGTAAATTACTTCAGTGTAATTTTGAGGTATAAATAAAATTCCATAATTATAGTTTGCTTTAGAAATACTGAAACTGCTAATGTTGAATACACTACTTTAAATAATTTTGCATGCTGACATACAGTCATTAAACTCATTTGTGGTGTTTCATTTTTAAAATTTTCTATTTAAATTGATTTTCATAAATTAACATAAAACTAGTGACAGTATAGATTCCTTTTGGACCTTACATATGCCTTTTATTGTTGTTTCAGGTAAGCATCACCTTTCCTAACTGATCAAAGACTATGTAAACAGATTTTTATAATAGAGAAGGCATTAGTTTAGGTGTCAGGCGTCAGCATTCTTATCTATGCTCCACCAGTTGGGTGTGTCCATGGGCAAATCTTGTTACTTTTTTGTATCTAGTCAATGCACAATTCAGCCTGTTAGTTTAGTTCAGAGATTTTCAACAGGTGTGATGCAAAAATTTCTAAAACATGCAATACCTGCTAGTCAGGCCCACTGACTTCTTTTCCCCTTAGATTGTCAAATATAAAAACTGACAACAGCCAACACAACAATAGCCATCTGGTGTAAATGAATCAAAATTATACTTTTTTTTTCAGATTGGCAAAAAATGTAACATACTTTTTTATGTGCCACAAAATTTTATGTGTGCCGTTAGATGAAAGAGGTTGAAAGTTGCAGGTCTAGTCGATCTCTAGGGTCATTTTCATCTCTGAAATTCTGTGACTTCAACTTCTGTACATGGTGTTTAGTATCCCTCAAAGAAAGAGTTTTTTTCAAGGTAACATTGTGTGTAAGTTTAGGGTTCATGTCTTAGGTCATGCTCTCTCCTTAACTGTAAAGGAATAAGGTGTCCTGGTTAAGAGCACAGAATCAGTAGCCAGGTTGCTTGCTTTCAAACCCTACCCTACTGTTTGCTAGCTTTGCAGCCATGGATAAGTTAAGTTTTTAGTGCTTTAGGTGTCCTAGTCTGTTGGAAATAAAGATATTAATGGTACTAGCTCATAAGTTGTGAAGGTTTAATGAGTCAAGTATTTGTTTTAAAAGTGGTCAAAATAGTGCTTGGCACAAAAGTGTTATTTACCTAGGAACTGTCATCTGTTATTATTATTATTATATCTTTATCCCCCATAGAACAACAACTTTTGATGTAGCATTCATCCCTCATTCTGTTGCTTAGAATTCCTCTCCTTTCCATCTGAGACTTTCTGGGACTGTCCCTCTCCGTCAGGGGTTCCCAATACAGATCCTTTCTATGTTTACTGATTGTCTAGAAGGACTCATAGGACTCAAGCACACAGTCATACTTACACCTAAGATTTATTTTCAGTGAAAGAGATGAAGCAAAATCACAAAGGGAAAAGACACAAGAGGTGATGCTTAGAGGAAACCAGGCTCACGTTTTCAAGAATCCTTTCCCAGTAGAGTCACAGAGGACATGCTTAATGCCTCCAGCAACAGGTTGCTCATTAGAGACTCGGCACCTAAGGTTTTTACAGGGGCCTGGTTATGTAGGCGCCCTCAGGTACCAAAATTCCAGACGCCCAAAGGAAAGCAGACGTTCAGCATAAACCACATTGCTTGCACAATGAGCTACTGTTATTTAGGGAACATTTTATATCAATGTAGGGAACTGTTTATTAGTTAAGTTCCCAGATGCCAGCCTAGGACAAGCAGACCTTTTTGAGGACAGCAGCCTCAGGCCTGCTGTGTTAACTCTTTTAACTCTGACCTTGGCTTTGCCTTATTTTATGGGTGAGGCCTGCTGTAGCAGTGTTGGTCCTAACATGGAGAGGGAGGGGGAGAAGTGAGGTAGAAGCAAATTTCTGTGCGTGCTTCCCATCTCTCTTCATTCCTTTCATTTCTTTGTCTTCTTCTCTAGGATAGTGAGTTTGTAATTCTTCTGAAGTGCAATTGAAAACTTATATTAGTCCTTTTTTATACCAGAGTCAGCGCTAGGTTAGGAATGTGACCTATCTTAGAGCAGGGGTTCTTACATCAGTAAGTCTTCAACTGAATGGGCTTCTGGGAGTAGGAACTCTTTTAAATTGTATGAATGATCTCATTGCAAATGTGCATTTTTCTGGGAGCAAAGTCTGTAGTTTTCGTTACATTTAGAAAAAGATTTTTGACCCTAAAGGAATTGAGAACCAATATATTCAAGTATTTTTTTTAAAAAGAGTAAAAAAAGACAATTCAACTCGTTAGAATTTAGGTATTTGAAGAAGAGTGTGGGGAAATAATAGCAGCTACCATGTATTGAATCTTCTGCATTCAGGGCACTGTGTTAAATATTATTTCAGATAATCTTCTTAACAACCATGTTGAAAATGTTATAGCCTACTTAGGGCCACATAGCTAGTAAGTGGCAGAGCAGAAATTCACACAGCCCTGACACCAAAGCACACTACCCATCATTCCAAGTTTTCATTTTGGTACTTGTGTTTTAATAATACATTTTTCATATACTAAAATTAAATGTATTTATTTTTTTCTCAAATAGAAATTCAAATAAATTTTAATATTTTCGTATAGATTTTACATATTTAAATAAACATATACATATACAGCAGCATTAAATTTGCTTTCTAAGTAGTATGTAATGCTCTTTAAAATTACATACCTTTATCTCACATTCATTTTTCTCATTTTTATAAATAGATTCAGCAGATAATTGAAGGAAAACTCTTCCCAATGAAAGCTCTAGGTTATTTTGCTGTTGTGACTGGAAAAGGTATGCAAAGATGGATTGCTGGGATTGATATATGCGAAGTGGTGTTGTTTTCAAGTAGTAAACATTACTTTTCTTAGCGAGAACCTTACCATCATCTTTCCCTAGGAAACAGCTCTGAAAGCATAGAAGCAATAAGAGAATACGAAGAAGAATTTTTTCAGAATTCAAAACTCCTAAAGTAGGTATTTTGCTTGGAAATTTAAAGATTTTATAGTGAGGAGGTAGCTTAAACTAGTAGTTCTCACTTAAAAGTTTGTTTATAGCTGTTAGTTTAACGCTGACTTCTCAGAATTTTCCCCAAGTAGTGATCTGTATCTACTAAGCAAGTCCTCCAGCTATTCTGACAGAATTGAGAGAAATTTGTCACATGGTACAGTGCATGCTGACATAGAAAACTGCCCGAGTGTGGACAGTGAGAGACAACATGGACACCCTGAAATTGTTTTATTTATAAAGTGATTTTTAAAAATCAACATTTACATTTTTAAATACACGTACCCATTTCTCTTACAGTATTGGGGAAAGTTGAAGTGCGGCTGGGGGTGCAAAGGGGTATCCCTAAGTAGATATTGACAGAAATTAACAGAAAATTAGATACAGAGAAGCAAAAAGGAAGAGCTAAAGGGCAACTGAATTGTATTAAAACTTTATATGTAGAGAGTCTCTTGAAGTGGAAAAGTATGTTTGCCTCTACATTAGTATAGTAAATCGAGATAGTTCTTATAAACATAATCTTGAGTATTATCTGATGGGATAGGAACTGACAGGTGTATAGAACTTTGCTGTGCAATACTGTAGTCACTAGCCTTGAGTGGTTATTTAAATTTAAATTAGTTAACATCAAATGAAATTAAAACTTCAGTTCTTAGTCACACTAGCCACACATTTCAAGGGCTCAATAACCCCATGTGGCTAGTAGTAGCTACCATATTGGATAGTTCAGAGATAGAACATTTCCTTCATCATAGAAAATTTTATTGGACAGTGTTGGTATAAATATGTATGTGGGTATTCTCATTAGGTTATCATAACAAGCACATTCTCAAACTTAGTGATGGTATGGTCCTTTTGCCATTTTAGTATTCTTTAACTCTTGTTACTTTTTATAGGGCAAGCATGCTAAAGGCACACCAAGTGACTACAAGGAATTTAAGCCTTGCTGTATCAGACTGCTTCTGGAAAATGGTACGAGAGTCAGTTGAACAACAGGCTGATAGTTTTAAAGGTAAGTTGAGTTTTTGAAATAAGGTAACATATTTAGACATTGTTTTAGCTAGCAATCTTAGGCATCCATCAGATTCTTTCCTCCCTTTCTTTAATAGGTACTTTTCAGTTCATTTACTATTAGGTAGTGTGTGGAGAGTGGAAAAAGTACAAATCTTCAGTTGTAGTACTACAAGAACAGGGTTTTTCCTTTCAGAGGAAAGATTGCTGGGAGCACATTGTGAGTTTAAACAGATTAGAAAGTTTGCAGTAGTATTTGGGAGAAAGAGCTTAGTAAACTGCAGTGAATTCAGAGTCACCCTTTGGGGGTAGGTGGTGGAGGGGCGGAGAGGAAATGTGTTAGGAATCAGAACAGCCTTTACTTCAGCTAGTTCCTGAATTCCATACTTTCCTGCTCCATGGCTTTGTCCCATCGTTTCATTTGGTGAGAGTATACATTTCTCCCCTTTTCTCATCTGGAAATCCTACCTATTTATTTATCCTATTTAGTCCCTGAGCAACCTTGTAAGTATTATTATTATTCCTATTTTATAGAAGGGAAAACTGAGGACAGAGTACCTTACCTAAGTGACACACCCAGAGTCATACAGCAGTAGACCCAGGATTTGAATCTTGGTACAAATACATAGTCCATGCTCTTAGCAGCTGTACCAAACTGCTTCAGTTGCATGTTTTGTGGATTGAAAATGTAGAAACTAGAGTCAAGGAGATTAGTTTGGAAAACTTGCAGTAATGGGATTCTGAGATACTGAGAGTCCAGAGTAGCCAAGAGCCATAAATGTACACTCATATTCAGTTAATGGAGAAGATATGCATATTAGCCTTTAGCCACTGCCTCGGGGAAGAAGGAGAATCCTCTAACTTGAACACCTTTCCTTCTTCTTCAGCAACACGTTTTAACCTTGAAACTGAGTGGAAGAATAACTATCCTCGCCTGCGAGAACTTGACCGGGTAATATTTGTGCACCCCATGTATTTTGAATATATCTAATCCAGCAATTTTCAACTGGGGTGGTATGCTGCAAGAAGTTTTAAAACAATGCAATACCTGACTGTTTTAGTCATGGGCACTGACCTCTTTTCCCTTAGATTGTCAAATGAAAAATGACAACAGCTCACACAGCAATAGCCGTCCGGTGTGAATGAATCAAAATTTTAACTTACTTTCTTTTGGATCGGCAAAAAATACAATATATTTTTTGGTGTGCTGCAGAATTTTAGTACTTAGTTTTTGTGTCCCATGAGATGAAAAAGGCTGAAAATTACTGATCTAATCTGATATTGCACTCTAACAAAATGTATATTGATGAGCAAAATCTGATATGCCAAATTGCTTTGGTTTTGACCATTTAAAAATATTTTCTGAGATGAAGAGCATTTTTAAAGGTCTTATAGAATTAACATTTTTATGTCATGTAAACTTTTAAAAATTATACACCAACTTTTTCACCATTTCAACATTTATTGTGGAAGAATAAACTCTAATTTAGTGGGATTTAAATACTGGGGGGTGTTTTTTTAATTTTAAAATGCCACTGGTTGTAAAACAGTGTCGGTTTACTAATACGCTAAATTAATATGTATTGTTACTTTCACATAACATTTGTTATGTGAAAAATTTATCTGAACAGATGTTGTCTGAAAAACTGCATTCAGAATTAAGTGAATAATCCAGACTTGGGGCCGGTTTCTTTGTCCTCGCCTGGATATTGGCTTTTCTGCAAAAGAGACTGGGAGAGAAGAGCATGACTGCTGGTCATGCATGCTTCAAACCTGAGCACATCCTGCTGGCCTATTGGAGGCCGTGCCTTTAGTTGTCTCTGAAAATTGTGGCAGGGCAAATGGACTCTCTTATGAAAATCTTACTTACTTGTATCTGTATTGCCTAGAACGAATTATTTGAAAAAGCTAAAAATGAAATCCTCGATGAAGTTATCAGTCTGAGCCAGGTTACACCAAAACATTGGTGAGTATCTAACCTTTTCTGGTAGACTTTACTATATGAATTATAATGAAATAATGGTGATAAAGTAGTGATTTATTGCGGCCTTGGCTCATCCCCCAAAACATAGGCAGGAACATAGAAGTATCTAACCACTATTCTGGTCTACCTAATTAAGTATTTAAGTAGAATAAATTATGTATTTATTAAGTATATTTCAGAAGAGATATTCTGAAAGATAGCTTTATTCTCCTCCTTTTTTTTTTGGTAGCTGACAGAATGACTTATTTAAAAAATAATCAGGTTATCTCAGTCCCATGCTCAGAACCTATAGTGGCTTCATAGAGCACAATCCAGAGTTCCCCAGTTTGCCTTCAGAGGTCTACATGATCTGGCCCCACTACCTCTTTACCTCCTTCTGCTCTGCTCTTTACTGCCTTGCAGTTCTTTGGGCAGCTTTATACTCTTTTTAAATCTTGATTTGTCTTAGGGTTTTTTTTACCTTTAATATGTTTTGTACAAATCACTTTTCAAATTGAATCCTATTTGAAGAAGTTTTTAAATAGCAAGTAAATGTGTCCTTTTGAAAAATACTCATGCAAATCTGTCCTTACTACCATTCATTACAAACAGTTTCTGTACCTCTTCTGTTTGCTCAGTTGAAGATTATCAAAATTGCCATACATAGCAATTGTCCAGTCCTTAAGTTTGAATTCAGTATTACTAGTTTTCCCATCTTGGTGCCCTTTCTTCCTCAGGAGTGAACCCTTTTCTCTCTTCAAGTAGTCCAAGTTTGCCTGTTTTCAATCTCCCCTTATCAAAAAAAGGATTCTGATCTGATCTATACTTATTGATTGATTATGTACAGCACAACTTATCTTTGCTATTATTTGGTTTTTAAGCCAGTTTGTTTTTTAAGTTGCAGGGGATAGATGTATGTGTGTATGTGTGTGTGCACACAGAGAATGAATATAATACTACTTGCCTTACTAGGTAGTATGAGTATAATGTACATAACAGGTGAATTGTAAACTATAATAACTAATAATGCCATTTATGGGAGAAAAATATGATGCTTCTGTAAATTCCTGGCATCATCAAATGGCATGGTTGGTTTTGGTTAGACAGAGCAAACCTGAAATCAAAGTATACCAGCACTAAAGTGAGCCTTGAAGACAAATCTCATTTATTTAGCTCACAGGTGGCTAAGGAGAATTGTGAAGAGACAGGAAGCCTACATTGCCAAATTGCCTGTTGAGAAGGCAAAGGAGAGAACTAGGACAGCTGGCTGCCAGAGATTTATTCTGTGCTCTGCTGGAGCAGATGATTTTGTATATTTTCATCATTTTTTTTCAGACTTTATAACTTAACAAAAACATAGATCAAAATAGCAGGTCCTAATACTCACTGTTCATGCCACATTGAATTCACCTGCATTGTACCTAAAACGTTTTATTTGTGTGCCATAGTTGATGTTGTCTTAGGTAGTACCTTTTTCTGGATAATGCCTTATGTGATATTTTAGAATGCATGCCTAAAATGCTTAAGATTATTTAAGTCACAGGGATGTTTAATCTGCATATGGTGATCTGGAAGCAGTGATATAAGCATTTTATGTCCTAATGTGATAGCTTTTTATTTATTTATAGACATTCTACTATAATTATATTTTAAGAAGCTTATTGGGGGTTTAGGCTTTACATAATGATGCATTATAGTGAGAAATGAGCTCTCAAAATTTTCACGCAATATACCTGGTTATCAGGAATCAATTACTGACATTAAGCAGGAAATATTAGTATATCATTAACATAATGAGACCATCATTGCAGTTTTGTTTTTTTTTATATGTCATTTGGAAGGATAGCTGGCTGGATTTATAGAAACACTTTTTTTTTTTTAATATGCTTTTATTGATTTCAGAGAGAAGAAGGGGGAGGGAGAGAGAGATAGAAACATTAAGGATGAGAGAGAGTCATTGATCGGCTGCGTCCTGCATGCCCCTACTGGGGATAGAGCCTGAAACCTTGGAATGTGTCCTGACCAGAAATTGAACCTTAACCTCCTGGTCATATAGGCCGACTCTCAACCACTGAGCCATGCTGGCCAAGCATGTAGAAACACTTTTTTTAAAAGAAATGGTACCATGGTATGGATGAAGTTTTGGTGAAAGGTATTATGTTTTTTCTGTTGAAGTTAGAAGAATGAAAAGAAAATGAGAATGCATAGTTGAGTCCCCTAACTCAAATTTGAGGAATTAGAAAAGATTTCTGATAGAATTTGATAGTTAAAGGGTGAAAGGGATATTAAACAACCAGGAGGGGTAAGAGCAAGGGTGAAACAGGTAGATGAAGGCAGTCACCCCTGGCTTTAGCATAGAAAGAGGCAAGAGGCGAGTGATAAGACAATAAATGTAAGCAAAACATAGATTATTCTGGGCCTTACAAGTCAAGTTCAGAAGACTGGAATTTATCTCATGAGCAGTGGAGTCCATTGAGGAGGTTTAGGTCAGATCTGCATTTTAGAAAGATCTTTATAGTTGAGAAAATGGAACATAGGTGGAGAAAATTGTAAGCAAGGAGACAGTTGGCTATTGAAATAAACTACACAAGACATCATAGCGGCTTGAACTTGAATAGTGGTTGTGCAAGTGGAGAAGAGGAGACATTTTGAGATATTTAAGAGGTTACCTAGAAGATAGAATTGACAGGATTTAGTGATTGGATGTATAAGTGATGGAGAAGAGGAGTCAGTTAAACAGTGAGTACATTGATATCCAGTAATTACATTGCAAGTGACTAAAATAGATTCATGTAACAGAACACTATTCATCAATAAAAAGGAGTGAGATATTGATATACATAGCATAAATCTCAATACGCTGAGTGAAAAAAGACAAGAGTACATGCTGTATGATTGCATTTATATAAAATTCTAGAAAATTTAATCTGTAGTGACAGAAAGCAGATCCAGTCGTTACAGCTTTGGGGTGATGGATAAGTTCATTACTTGATTGTGGTGATGCACAGGTTTGCACATGTGTCAACACTTTAAATATGTGCAGTTTATTGTAAGTTAATGATACTTCGATAAAGCTGTTTTTATAAACTTAATATTATATTTACATTTGGTGTTCTTGAAACTCTTGCTTTTTTAAATTTCAGGGAAGAAATCCTTCAGCAGTCTTTGTGGGAAAGAGTATCAACTCATGTGATTGAAAACATCTACCTTCCAGCTGCACAGACCATGAATTCAGGGACTTTTAATACCACAGTGGATATCAAGCTCAAACAGTGGACCGATAAACAGCTTCCTAACAAAGCAGTAGAGGTTAGGATATAATTTAATTAAATGGGTAAGAAGCATTATCTGAAGGGAGTAGGAGCTGTGGATTTTAGGTTTTATTCCCATCACAGCCACTATCTTCCCTTTTGTCCTGATACTCCATTTATTCTTTATTCCTCATCTCTGTGTTGGGATTAAGCTCAATGCCGCCACCAGTTACTGCTGTTATAGAACTTTACTGATTGGTATGGTGTTGGTCTGAGGGTATTATTTTTTCTCCCAAAGATAGCATTTAACAAAACTGCCAAAATTTGCCTGAATGTGAACTGTTTTTAACTTCTTCTGCGGATAAAGATTCCATAAGGAAAATGTTTAATGAATAAAACATTTCATGTATTGATTTTCTGCAAGGCTCAGTCATACTTAAATAATCATTTCCTTTGTTGGATCTTGCTAGAAGGTTAGACTAGAAATTATAAGAAAGTGCCGTAAAGAATGCATTTCTGTCACCCATATATCTTGGCCCGACCACTTAGTAGCTGTGTGATCCTTGGGCTAGTTACTTAAGGTTTCTGTTTCCTTGTCTATAAAATAGGGGTGATAATTGCCTACCTCATAGATTGTTGTAAGGAGTAAATGAGATAATGTTGTAAAATACTTAGACAATACCTGGCCCATAGTAATTGCTCAGTAGGTGCCAGCTGCTGTTACGATGGGGTGATGACCATCATCCAGTGATCAGCCATGCATATCACTCTGAAGCATGATTGTTCCAGCTAAGAGTCAGTGCGTCCGGTGTTTCTGTGTGAGGCTGCCCACAAAATTAGAATCAGTGTTAAAAATAATTTTGTTTTTCATACCTACCTTTGAAATAAAATGTCAGTTTCTGATTATTCAGGTGTATTTCACCCCTCTCCTAGCCTGTTCCAGCCATACCTTCTTCACCTCTGTCTCAGTTTCCTTAAGCCACCCTTTCTAAGAACTGTTGTAGTCGTACCACCTAAACTGCATGCTGCTGACCCCTGGTCAGTTCTCCACACTTTTACCCCCGAAGTAATTAATGCTGCCACCACTTTACTAGCTCTCCTTACTACTGGCCCTGACATTTTTCTGGGCCCTATCTCATGGTAGGATATTTTTATATCCTATGGTCCAAGCAGAGGAAGTGGCCATAGAAGTGGCAGCAATTCTGTCTCTTGCCACTCTGCCCCTTCACACCTGGGTGTGGTAGGAAGATATGGACCTGCTGAAGGTCAGGAAGCATCGATTTTAATACCTCACTGTGTATTCTTGGACATTTACCTTTCTTTATGCTTAATTTATTAATGTTTAAAATGAAGAGCGCTAAATATAAAATACCATTAACTAGCCTACTTTAACTTTAAGTAGATTTAGTTCTTAACTACTTTTGACACTGCTCTTCCTTTCACTATTCATGTAATTAGGAGTTAGCTATGGTACAAGACTGAATAATACTCATCTATGTTTGAAAATATTGATGCGTTGTTTGCATAAAGGCAAAAGTGTGAAGAAGACTAAATCATTAAGAAATTTTTAAGTTTTGCTGTATGGAAGAAGCAGGCAAACTCAGGTGTTGTAGAAAGTGAAATAAGTGAACTAAGCCTTGACTGGCGAGAGTGCACACCTCATCTAAAGAGGGCAGCTCCTGTCCAGCTCTGGCAGGTGGGGTTCTGAGGGAATGTGGGTGTAGTGTTGCCAGACACTTCCAGAGAGGCTGGAAATGTAGACCTGTATGTGAAAGCTCTTGCTTTTTAAGTATTAGGTACTAATTTTTAAAAATTTAAAACACCATGTATGTCCAACAACACATGTCAAGAGTTCAAGTTGACCCCACTGGCTACCATGTAAGATCTCTAGTCCAGAGTTTATATTTGATGACTTTCTTATAATGTGGCTTCATATGCATTTTCTGATAAGCTGGATTATCAAGTCTATTTGACTTAATTTCATGTGTGTATTTTTCATGTTACGCATTAAATAAAAGTATGTAGTATAAATTTTTTCTTTTAAATAATTCTAGGTTGCTTGGGAGACCCTACAAGAAGAGTTTTCCCGCTTCATGACAGAACCAAAAGGAAAAGAGCATGATGACATATTTGATAAACTGAAAGAGGCTGTGAAGGAAGAAAGTATTAAACGTCATAAGTGGAATGATTTTGCAGAGGACAGTTTGGTATGTTGTTTATATATTAGGGTGTCAGCCTCATATAGTTATATAGTTTCTCAAATTGATGCTTTTATAGGAGACTATTTTTATATGACTGAATCAGATTCTGAATTTAAAATAGTAAAGGAAAGAAATAGATTTACGATCTGTAATTGACCCTTTGACATTTCTCTGCACTCCTGTAATTGCCTTCTGTTATTTCTTGCTTGGCTATCATTTCAGAAAAAAGTCAAACTTCTCAGTAAACAGGCTTCTATAAACTTCAACAAATTTGTCATCCATTAGCCTGAACTAATAGAGGTTAGCTGCTTCTCATTTTACTCTCCGTGGTAATGAAAGAAATTAGATGCATTGATTTTTAGTGGATTTAAGTCATAAAATGTTAGACTCCTAAAATCGTAATGCTAACTACCACGTGTTGATTGCTTACAAGGTGCCAGAGCTGCTGTGTACTTTGTAAGCATTCTTTTATTTAGTTCTTTTTTTTCCTTCAGAGAATAAACCAACTTTATTTTATAACAGTATTATAGAAAGCAAAACATCATTTAATACAACTTGAAACTGCTATAAATCTAATCTGGCATCATAACTATACATAGGGTCAAAAGCAAAGAGAAAAATGTTCATAGCAGTTAGTAAGCCCCTCTCAGGTCTCTGGGTCAGCTCTCAGTGGTCTAGCTTTCTCATACCCATCAAAAAACCACCGCCTCCTCGACCATCTCCTCTCTCTGGTGTCCTTGAACCTGTGTGAATCAAGCTATCTGAAAGAGAGAGGCCAGCTCAATAACAAAAGGTCCGTTTTACATGCAGACAGGGAGGTTTAGTACAAAACAAGCATTCTACACAAATGTTCAAACAATGGGAAGTACTGAAATTTGGACACGTTAAGAAAGAAAGCACTGAGGTTTTAAGCTGCCTGAATATTTTAGTAGAAGGGAAGAAATCGTTTTCTCTTTCTCCTCCCTTATGTTTCTGCGAAGTGTGGGCACTGTGGTGCAGTGGGGTCTCTAAACACAGCACGTGGTCAGTGAGCTTCTTCATAATCCTCCAGTCTGGAGACTCTGACTTTCTACTAACAGTAAAAACTCTCAGGACTGGAAAGTCAAAGGATTCAATAAAAAATATCCCCAGTGAATTTCTCAAACAATAGAAAATTTTCAAGATGTAAGAAATGCTTTTAATCCATATTAGTAATTTCTCATAGAGTATATTTACTGCAGTCTGAAACCTGTAATATTTACTGTAATTTGGTAGGGAATTCAATGGGGGGAATCTGGAAGAAGGAAAGTCATTGTCCAAGTCAGTCATAGTTTCCTTTCCCCACAATAGCACCTGTTCCAGTGAACAGCACCTTACCAGCTGGGCTGGCTTTGTTCACTATCATTGGATCAAATGAGTCATATAAAGCAGGTAGTTGTACACAAAGTAAGAAGGAAACAAAGTTCCCTGAGTTAAAAAAATAAAAAATCAAGACTATTTAGACAGAACCAAGAATATTTAGAAGTGGTTATAAAACAAAGTGACGTATTAAAATGAGAGGGAACAGTGTAGACCAGAGCTGCTAAGGTAAGGTTTGGTGTTGGCATTTTAATGCTTCAGCCTTCTGATCATTGTTACCAGCTGTAGCATAAATTCACTGGAGTAGTGGTGTGGCATTAAGACTTGAAATGGCCAAAAAGTCTTCAGGTTCACCAAGTTAATGTTGTTTAATAAGTAGATTTCTTAACTTACTCTTCCCCTTCCTCCAACTCAGTTTCTTTGTGCACCACCACTCTTGTGACCGACATGTCCAGGTGCTGCTCTCTGGCTTCCCTGATGGCCCCGGCCAACACCTGGTCACGATCACTATCTGCATCTCCTGTGATCACAATGCATTCCTCAGTTCTTCTTTCAGATAGTCCACCTTTTATAGTCTTGGTGATGGGTGTGGTTGTTGTTGTCAACATGGAATCAAGTGTGATGGTTGTGCAACTCAGTAACTGCACGAGTCACCAGCAGCCCCACTATCAGTCTGTGGATACTCCTATGTAATGGTTTTGGTCTCAGTTTGGACAATAGGGACTTCCTTGGTGGAGATTTCTGTCCTTTGTGAGGCATCAGGAATTATTTCCACTCTGCCTTTACCACAGGTGACTTAGAGCAACAGATAATTTGTGGCAAAACACCAGTGTCACTATGAGACACCTCTCCTTTAACTTCATGCTGCTTGTCCTCTATGTCTTTGCTCACATCTTGCTTGATGGCTCCTTCGTGTACACTCTTCTCTGTATATGTCTCTGGGGCAACTCCATGTTCCTGGGTCACTGATCCTGCTGTGCTTACACTGGCCCCTGCGTGTTTGCTGTGGCTGGCTTCTGGTCCTGCTTCCACCCTCTACTACCTGGGCTGCTCAGCCAGGTTCTCCTCCACCCTTCTTCATTCTCCCGTTCTTCTTCTGTGGTGCCCTCAGTCACAGTGGTGGGACCTTTCTTATTTCCTCTTCTTTGGCCACTACTAAGTTATAGGACTTTTGTCTCTTAAGATGAGGAGGTATGAATTGAGAGATGCCCCTACTCACCCTTCTGCCTCTTCTGGTGGCTTGGACTGCTTTGGCTTTTAGCTTGAGATGATTGGGAATCTTTCCCCTCTGTATCAGATGGCTGTTTCTGCTGGTTTTCTGCCACTGCTTTAGGTTTCTCCTTGGTTGCATCTGCTCCTAACTGGGTCAGATTCCTTCTTTACTTTAGAAGTCATGGTTGCAGCTATGTCAGCACCAGTTTGTAATTGTTTTGCCTCACAGAAGTTGTTTTCCAGCCACAGGCTACCACAGATTGTTCAGACCTTTTGGCAGCAACACAGGAAACTGCCCTTTAAACCCATTCTCCCACAAAAATGTCAATTTCTAGGCCTATTTAGTGCTTAAGCAGTCCTGTCTAATATTGCCATTGGCAAAGCTGGGATACAAGGTGGAGTCAGGAGCCTGTAATTATGAAGCCTGGCTCCTGACTCCACATGTGATAAATCTTTTGTTATGTAGAACATTCTCATCACCATAATCAAACTTTACTAAGCACCTGCTCTGCTCAGACAGTTAAGAGAGGCACTCTTTTTTTTTTTTTTCTTTATTTAAAATATCACAGCTATCCCTTTTTCAGGAGAGGCACTCTTAAAAGATAAGATGAAGCAGTTTTCTAGGAAAATGCATATCTGAGTGTGGTATGGTAGTAATTATAACCTTTGGAAGAAATATTTGTCTTCATATTTGAAAATTATATTTATTCTTGTTAGCTGCCTTATTAAGACTGGCTTTCTGAGAGAATGGTGCCATTTTCATTCAATAATTACAAAATTTGGAAACTAATTTTCTTATAATAAATAACATTTACTTATGATTGGTTAGACATTTTAAGCTTCCCAACAGTACATTTTCCATTGCTGTTACCAGTGAGATAATGGTTATTTTTTTTTCTCCTCTCTTTTCTGAAAATGCTAACACATAGGTCATATGACAAAAAGGAAAGGTAGAGCCTGGCCAGTGTGGCTCAGCGGTTGAGCATTGACCTATGATCCAGGAGATCAAGGTTCATCAGGACCCCAGTCAGGGCACATGCCTTAGGGCTTGATCCTTAGCAGGGAACATGCAGGAGGCAGCCAATCAATGACTCCCTCATCATTGATGTTTCTACCTCTCTCTCTTTCCGTTCCTCTCTCTGAAATCAGTACAGACATTTAAAAAAAAGAGAGAGGTAGAGGTGACCTGAATCATCAACTCCTGAACTCTAGGGTTCTAGGTGTTGGATTTTATGTAGTTAAATATACTACCACCCCCCTGCAGTGATCTTAGAGATGGTCAGCTTATTTAATTTGGGCTAGGAGAAAATTTCCACTCTTTGTTTTTAGACAGAAAGCTGACAGATAGGCAGATAATAGGACCTTCTGCACAAGTGTGGAAGGGACATACTTTGTTGTTTGAGATACATCTGTTATTTTGGGTATCTGCTAAGCTGTCAATTTGAATAAAATTACTGAATGATAGACACAAATCAAATTAGTTGTTTTTCTTTCCTGTTATTTCAGAGGGTTATTCAACACAATGCTTTAGAAGACCGGTCCATATCTGATAAACAACAGTGGGATGCAGCTATTTATTTCATGGAAGAGGCTCTTCAGGCTCGTCTCAAGGACAGTAAGTAGGGCCTCGGGTTACTGAGTTTTGAGTAGTCTCAGCAATGAAGGAATCATCCAACTTCAGAGAATATTTGTAAAAACAAAATTAATATTTCAAGGTCTTTGTCATTAATTTGTGGGACTTTTTTAGTCATCTGCTTAGTAACTACTAAAAATATTAAATAAATTAGACACGTTTCAAGAACTGATAATCTGAAAAGCTACATTCAAAGTATTTTAGTGTTTGCTACTATACAGGCAGTTACTTTTCATAGGTTGTAAACATATATGATTAAATACTTTCTTATCTATGCACCCTATGAATCATAATTTTTTGTTCATTTCGGCTGACTTTATGTTGATTGCTATATCACTTTGAAGTAGTTCAGAGAGCAAGAATAATTATTAGCTATAATGTATGTATTTGGTAAGTGATAAAATTCATGATGAATTTTAAAGTTTTTTCAAACTTTTTTTTAGCTGAAAATGCAATTGAAAACATGGTGGGTCCAGATTGGAAAAAGAGGTGGTTATACTGGAAGAATCGGACCCAAGAACAGGTAAAACAAACAAATCTCTGCTCTGTGATGGTAAAATTTTGTTCATTTTCATTCAAGCAGTAAAATATAACCTGTTCATGCCTCTAGACCAGTCTTAATTATTTCCAATGTTTATGTTAACGTTTCTAAAATATAAAATCTTCAGAATAAACAGTAAACTATGAATGAAAGTTTTTTTAAGTGGAGTAGTTGTGTTATTAAAAGAAGGGGGAGATGAAACATACCCCTTTTGTGGTTGATTACTTTATTCATGTCAGTTCCATATTTGAGGTAAATTGAAGATTAAAGTTATGAACAAAAGCAAAAGAATGATAAGGATTTTAGAGAATGTAGAGTGAATGTGATTAGAATAAAAAATATAATATGACTACTTTTTAACCTTATTCTGTTACATTGTCCCTGTGTTTTTTTGTTGATTTTCTATTCAGATTATTATATTTTTTTACAATTTTTGCTCCTATGTCCTCAAAATAAGTGTAAAAATTCAGACAGGAAGCAGAATTATAGAATTCACTTGTTTACATTTAACAAGCACTTCAGAAAAACAAAATGGTAAATAACTACGAATGAGTAAAAGAGGGGAAGTATGTTGATTGTTAAGGCCCCGTTCCCCACGCCTTTATTCCTTCCTTATTATGGCTTCTTCCCCTACCTGGCATTCAGTCTTGCTACTCTCATTCTTACTCATTCCCTGAGTAAAAGAGTGTAAACAGAACATGGAACTAGAATACATACATGAAGGAAGTCATGAAT